TAATTAACGGTGGATTGGACCTAACAAAAGAGCCAGTCTATTATAATAATATAACAAATTAATGTTTGAATATTCATTAAAAAGAATATTTATATTTAATATTTTATTGTGCCTCAAATATCATTAGCTTTAATAAAAGAATACGTATAAATAATAAAAAAATTCTAATCCTATTAAGGTTTTTTTTTTTTTAAGTTTCTATTTTTTATAGGCCAACCTATTCCTACATGCTAAGCTTTGACTACAGTCTTGAGTACCAAGTCAATCCAGGGGATTGAAATAGCGAATTGTTGAATTAATTGCTTGACTAGTTTAATATCAATGAAATGGATTATTTATGATTAATTTGATTATAATTCAACCACAGTTGTGAACATTAACTCTTAAATAAATGTATTGACCAGTTTAATAATTCATCTGGTTTTTAATACTTTGCCTATGACTATCCTTAGTATCAATAAATAACTTACAAAAAAAAATTATATATTTTTATTTTGAATGTAATCAAAATATGTGAATTTTTATGTAATATTAATTTATAGTAAATTATTTGTCATTAATATTATTATAAACTTTTAAGATTCATGTATTTTGATTTAATTGAACAAAAGTATATTGAACATATAAGATTAAGTGCCTAAGTCTTGTTCTAAATAACATATGCATTTCCCTCAAATATTTGTCATTAATATTATTCATTATTTAAAATCCATTTGTTCTGATTTAAGTTCCTTAATTTTTTAGGTTCTTCTCTATAATTTTTTTAATCAACTAATAGTTTTCCTCCAAAATATTGCAACAATGAGTTTAATATTTTGATATTTTACAACTTTAAATTAAAAATGAAGGGAATGAACCTCCAAATTAATAGACTCACCTCCCCATCATTCTCTTATTAAACAACTTTTTTGTAGCACATTAATGGGACAGTTGATATCTTCTAAATAAGCATTATTGTTGGTTTGTTATTCCCTGATCTGTCATGTTTTTGATTGTATCTTTAACATTGCAGCGTACGAAAAATACTAAATTTGGGTGGTGTAGTATTTTAAAGAAAGATTATTGGTTGACCAACAAAGTTACAGAGAAGGACCTAAAAATTTAAAAAACTTAATTGGTATAAAAAATATAATTGATGTATAAAAAAACACAAGTCATTTATACATTTATGAAAAACTAGTTTGAATCTTTAATATTTAAAAAATAATTTACAAATTTATATGAATATTTATAAATAATAATATTTAAATTATTAAATATAAATATTTATTAAATTTTATTTTCACAAGACTTTAGGATTCTCAACGTTTTTAGAAAAGATTTCAAGATGCCCAATGCTTTTAGAAAAAAAGTTCAGAGGCAAATTAACATTAAAGAACATAATCAGAGTCCTACTTGTTAGTATGTGTGGGTCTCACACACATGTCACATTAGTAGAAAATGACAAAATTAATGATTGACTAACATAAGGAGGGAAATTCTTAGGTGGATTGAATACATCACGCCATGTACAATTTATTTAATAAAAACATGATATTCAGATGGTATTGAACATAAATTGATTCTGACATCAATGATAGTAAAGAGAGAAAAGATAATAAATTATATATACATTCTATTATAATAATAAAATTAATAAAATAATGTCACATAATATTTTATTTAGATAACTTGAAACATTTTAATTGGGCAAACCACAAATGTCATGATGCACCCAGTTGACCTAAGAATTTCTTGAGAATAGTTTTTTTGTTTGTTGAAAAAATAGTTCAAACAAAAATTGTCCCACTTATCAATATAAATGCCCAGCATTGCTTGAAAAAAATTCAAGAATAAAAATAGGTATTAACTCTAGTTATTAAAACGAACTTTATTCGAGGTAAAATATTTTACATTGGATTAGATTGGTGTGGTACACACAACTTCTTACTGTAATTTAGATCAATCTTGTTTTTTTGGACTCAGACTTATGTGAAGTATTGAACCCACGTCTTCCACCTAAAAGAAAGTAAATTGGCAAATCGTGAACGTTACTTTAAAAATGTAACCGTGACTCATTGTAACTGGGGGAAAAAAATTACAGCGGCTCACTCATAGTTTCTCTCCATTTTTTCTTCTTTTTTTTTCAACCTCTATTTTTTCTGTATTTCAAGCTGGCTAATTAAAATTTACGAGGTCTTACATCCCTTCATAATAATTTTTCATCTTTATTATATGGTCAGCCTAATATCAAATTCATTTCAATTTTTCTAATATGTTGATCACATAAATATCTTAACATGATGATAATATACCTAGACGCATATTGACTGTCAATTTTGTCATGTTTTATGCACCGGTACTAAAGAATTTCTCACCTTCATGATCATATGTAATGCCAATTTTTTTTTATACTCTGTTTGCTCAGTACTATAAGACAATTTTAATCATATTACACCTTTCAATTAGTTAGTAAATTATTTTTAAAATTAAACACTCTTTTTTCATATTTATCCTTATTAAATAAGGTGTCTTAATTAAAAAATTTTATTGATTACACTCCTAATTAAAGATATTTTTGAAGGAAAAAAATTTATTAATTGTATCTTAAAATATTCAAAATGGCTTATATTTTTGATATGATATTTTTTTAAAAAATATCTTATAATATTAAATGATGGACGATATAACTACTTTTATACGATTTGTTACTTTAATTTTTATTGACCAGCAGATACAACTTACTTTAATTAATGATCAATTACGCAACCAGCAACATTATATCATCTTCATTAATCCCCTCATAGTATATATTTTGAGCTATAAGATGCTGACACACACTCTGTCTCTACGTTAAAAATAATTACTTGATAGGTTGTATTGGTCCTTTACAATAATATTCCTGTGTACATTCTTAGGAAATATTTAAATGGGTTTGCTCCAAAGGTAAGAGAATATTAGGTAAATCTTTTCATTCAATGGACACAAAATAGTTAAGCATCTATTATAAAAGCAGTCTTGCCAGAAGCCAACATAACGGCCCCACCATCCTTTTTTTGCCCTTTCCATCTAAAACTTTTTAAGGCGGTTCGAATTTTATATATGATAATGTTTTATATTAAAATATTAAAATTATAAAATAAAGGATAAATGAACAAATTAATTCCTAAATTATATATCTACAAGTGTTTAAAATCATAAAATTATTTTTAACTTTTAAAAATAGTGTAATTTGACTTCTGTTATCTTTAGCAAAAGTTTATTTTAATTGTTAGTTGACAAAAAAAAATCAAAAATAATTTAAAAAATTCTGGAAAATGACCACATTTTTTGTCATTAATGGTCAAAATTAATTTTTATTAATTACATGAGTTAGATTGTGTACTTTTTAAAAAGTTGAAGGTGAATATTGTATAAAAGATAAGTTAGGGTCTCAAACTTTTTTTTAATCTATAGTTTATGGACCAATTTGCTCATTTCTCTAAAAAAAATAATTTTATAGCAAAATTATAAAATCAATCTTGCAGCATGTGTGTTCCATGAAATTCAAGATTAAAAGCCATATAGCATTCATGATTCTATACTCTACATTACATAAGTTACATAGCATAATATTCAGAACATTAAAAAGTGACCAATAAACGTTAGTTTTAGTAGTTAAGCATGTGTTCTTAGGTTTAAATTTGAAAGAATGCAGAAAATAATTTTGGAAGAATTATCTTTAATTAAGTTTGATAATTCTCAAATCTAATTCAATTAGATAGCCATATTTAAAAAAACAATAACAAATGAGTATATTTGACTATTCAAATTAAATTCCTTTAATTTTGGAAAAAGAGAGACACTGTAAATAATAGTGTGTTTTTTTTTTGTACATAGAGTTATAGAATATTTGAATGTAATGTTTAGATTTTTACTTGCTGGCTCAAAAAAAAAAAAAGATTTTTACTTACTTTAATTTAAGAGATTTTTATGATTTATTTTTATTTCCTATTTGTCATCCCATCTCATCACATCATCTATTGCACCAGGGGGAACAATCCTAATGTGAAGTAGAGGATAATGAATCAAAACAAACTATGATAATATTTCCAATAATTTATGGGTGTGTGTATATTGATCACTCAAATTAAATTCTTCTTAAGCTTGTAAAGAAAAGACACGGTAAATCAAAGTATATGTTGTGCAATTAAAAATGACCTGAAATGATTCTACATATTCCCTCTATTTAAAAATGTAAAACATTTTTTGAAAAGTTAAATATTAAAAAATGTAAGATATTTTTAATCTTTTAAAGTGTAATAATTATTTTTTTTAAAGTGTCCTTATTGATAATAATTTTATATTTATTATAAAGTGTTTAATAAAAATAAATATAAAAAAATAAAATTTATTTAAAAATAAATAATTATTTTATTAAAAATAAAATTTAATTAAAAATATTTTATATTTTTTAAAAGGAGAAGTACAATCTTTAGATTTTTACCCTGATTTTAATGAAAGAAAATTTTATGATATATTTCATCTGTCATTTGTCATAGCATCCACATCACATATGGGATGTTAAGCTGAGTTGGATGATGTGACACAACCCAGATGTTGTTGATATGATGATGAATCCAAACGAACAATGATAATCTTTCCAACAAGACTGAACTACACTCCATTGTTCTCTCATTCTATTTTCACTTACATTTCCATTTTTACCCACTCATTTCAATTGAGTTCATATCAGAAATATTTTGTAGGGTTCTCAATTCAATGAAAATGATGTAAATTTTCAATCCATTGCAAAAGCTTTGAAAGATTTGCAATTCTTCGTACCGGATATTTGTAGAGTGATGCTTGATGCTTTTACGATAAAGCAACAAAATTTCTCGCAGTAATGAACCTTTCATCAGCGCGTGAGGCTCACGCTTCCTTCGTTATTCGATCGGCTCCGGTCGCAGCGTGGGACCCGGTGGAAGTGGGCTCCACTGTTCACACTAAAGATGTCTGCGTTTCTAGTTTCTATGTGCGTTTTGCATGGAATCGACCATAGACCGGAGAGATGCGTCTCCTTCTTTCTTTATCAATCTAGTTTCTCTCTCTAAAATCTGTTTCTGTCAATGATTCTCTAACATGCGTCTTCGCTGAAATCCAGGTCCTTGGCGTGCCACTCTGATTCACTGCGCGCTGAAATTTTCCCTACTTTATCGAATTCCCTTCTTTAATTCCTTTTCTCTTAAGCTTTTGGGTTCACTTAACACTTGCTTTTTTGGGAATTCGGCCTGTTCTTGCTATCTGAACTGTATCTGAATTTTATTCAACTCGCTGGAATTTCTCGAGGTTTTTCCAACTAGCCGCTACCGATTTGTGATTTGAGTTTTCTATCCCTTGCTCGAAATTCTTCTATTTTTTCTTCAATAAGTTGTTTCTGCTTTATTTCTTTGCTTACTGCATCTGTACTGTGACTCCCATTGGGACTATATTGTATTTTCGTTTTTTTTTCCTGTGTAATCTCTCTACCAAAAACCTGGAGGACTTGGTTTAATGGGGTGAAGATCCTGTTTTGGCGGTGTGCAGCGATGGTTCAATCCGATGCCTTTTGTAGGTTCGACTCTTGTTTCATGCCTGAGGGAAAAAGAGTGGGTGAAAGTTCGTTCTTGAATTTTGTAGGATTCTCTTGCCTTTTTAATCCGCAGTTTGGATCTTTTTTCGGAGGGCTTGATTTTGATGTTAAACACTAAACCATCACCCCGCCATGTCCAACTGGTTTCTGTATCTTGGTAGCATGAAATACTTGATAATTGGAGCATGCTGTCTGATTTCATGCCTTGATCCTTACATTTCTCATTTAGAACCTTTTCAAGTATTCTTTTTCCCCTTTTTCTACTTTCTTCATTCCCTTCTCTTCCCCCTCAACCCTCCTCTTATCCAGATGGGATAGGGCCTGCAAAAATGCTTGGGATTTGGTCGGATTCCCCTTTTCTCATGTGATATATTGAAGATTGGATGGTCTTACTTAAGCGATTGTTGGTGCCGTTTGGGCTGTGATGGTTTCATTAACTTGGCTTCAATGTTCCCAGTCAGATGCATTTGGATTGCTTGTATCCTGATTAAGATTGATGGAGACATCTCGGATGTGAACATAACATATCCATCTAACTAACCTTCAATGGCGATGCAACTGTTTTTATTATCTTTTAGAATCCTTTAAAGTAGTTATGGGGACTTTTTTAATTTAATGCTTTTTTGGCAATTCTTAACAGGTTAGCTGTCTTGTCTACTATCGTTTGATTAATGCCTCTTTGCTAATATATTTGATACTGATTACTTTTCAGATAGAGGCTCATCTAGTCATCTCCCTACAAGTCTTTACAAAGAAAAGGTTGAAGCTAGGTCTGTAGTAATGGGAACCTCAAGCTCTAAAATGGAGGATGATAAGGCATTGCAGCTCTGCCGTGAAAGGAAGAAGTTTGTTAGGCAAGCACTTGATGGCCGGTGCTCACTGGCAGCTGCTCATGTTTCATACGTCCAGTCACTGAAAAATACTGGAAAGGCATTGAGAAAATTCACTGAACCTGAAGTGCCAGTGGAGTCTTCATTATACACTTCCACTAATGCAACACCGGAGCCACTTGCATTAACTGAGAAGACCTTGTCCCAGCTCTCATTTTCTTCACCATCTGTGTCACAGCGAATAGATGTAACTGAGACCTTCTCTCCCGTGCCCTCCCCTCCTAGCTCTAGTAAATTCCAGGCAAATCATATGAAATTTGGCAGCAGCTTTTCTAGAAAAGTTGAAGAAAAACCACCTGAACCCATGATAGGTGTAGTGACATCATCAGGTACTCCACAAAGTGCCACACCTCATTCTACTGGAAGGACAGAAGCGTCTTTATTTGAAGATTCTTCTCTTCCAGCTGCAGCTTCACCATGGGATTTCTTTGGTCTTTACCATCCTATTGACCACCAATTTTCTTTTCAAGAAGGGAAAGCCATGTACCAAGAGATGGGGAATGGTGATGATATAACACAACTAAGGGAGGAGGAAGGAATTCCTGAGTTGGAAGATGATGAAGGGAATATTTCTTCTCATGGAAGTGAAGACTCTGAGGAATCTGAAGATGAGTTTGATGAAGAGCCTTCCACAGATACTTTAGTTCGAAGATTTGAGAATCTTAAAAATAGAGTTGGTGACAATGTTGTCGCTAATGCAGTACCTACCACAGTCAAGCCCCTCACCAAGGATCAACTTTCTGAGGAACTCACTAATGCAGAGAAGATCAACTCTGCTAGTCTATCACCATTAAAGGCAGCATCTACAGAGGCTAATCTTACTAAGGCAACAAACAAACCAGCAGAAAAAGAAAATCATAGTGAAGATAAAGTTGCTCCTAAGGATTTCTTTTCAAGCATGAAAGAAATTGAAATTCTGTTTGTAAAGGCTTCTGAATCTGGCAAAGAAGTTCCAAGAATGCTTGAAGCAAATAAGTTGCATTTTCGGCCAATGTTCCCAGCAAAAGAAAGTAATCTCTCTCTCTCTCTCTCTATATATATATATATATATATCTTTCTATCTATTCTTTTGCTCCCAAAACTATGTGTGTGGGAGAGAGAGTTATCATCTGGGTAATTTACAAGTGGTCAGTTCTTATAAACATATTGTTGAATTGCAATGGTGAGTTTATGAATGGTACTTGGGTGCTTTGCCATGCTGTTGACATCCATAGACTTTCTAAGGTAAGGCTTTTGTCAAAAAGAAATCATTAATGTGTGACTTTAGCATTTATCATATATATATATATATATCAGCTATAGTTTTGTAATTTGAAAATGTGAATATATTTGTATCAACTTGTGCTTAAGATTGGAATGGCATTCACTTTCCCTTCAAATTTATGCTTTTTGCTGAAAAGAATGTGTTTAAGATTCCTTAAACAACAACATGTTAACATGACTCCTTAAGATATATCCTACAGATAGTTCCTGTATGACACATTTATCGGATCAAGGTACATTTATATTACCAAAAATCTTCTTGTACTTCTGATTTACAAACCAGTTTTAGTATCAAGCTTGCAGTTACAGGGCTATTAAAGTTTTTGGTTATGCTTTCCCTTACCATGTTACTCGTTTATAGCTTAAAATGGTCAGAAGACTGACTAGAGACTCCTTGATTTTTGCAGAAGGTTCTGTGGCATCTTCATTTTGGAAGGCATGTTTCTTGTGTGGTGAAGACCCAAGTCAAAGTACAGAAGGTATTTTTCTCAGTTTTTATGTTTTCAATTTTCCATGAATGGCTGCTTGATTATTCAGAAAGTATTCCTTAGGACTTTATTGTCCATATCTGCCTCTATAAAAATTACTAATATTCTAGTGCTAAACCTAGGTATTTTGAAATTTATTAAAGAAATGATGGGGTAGTCTTGAATCTTTACCATGGTATAATTTCATATACGTGAGTAATTTGCAAGGAAATACAAATGGTGTTCTTTCTTTTTTATTTATGTTTTGTTTAATATTATAATAAGCTTTTTTGAAAAAATATTATAAAGTAGCATTTTTCATCTCATTCTCCAGAATATTAGTGAAAGTAGAACTCATTTTAGAAGACATGGTATTGTTAATTTTGATCTGTATAGAACATGTTGTACAAGGAATTTGCCTTTCAGCTCTGCCTGGTGAAAAATGTCAATTTTGAGGATTCATAATGAAACTAAGGATATGTTGTATTTTCTTAAATCATTTTGCCACTTGATTTCCATATAGTAATCTTCCGTTCCGTTCAGGTTACTCTTGCTTGGTGAATGTCTTTTTTTTTTTTTCCTTTTTTTTGCCAAAAACAAGTGAGCATGAGTTCCATCAAAACAAACACATGCGACTGGCGGCTCCCCGAAAAAGATTATTTTCAGATAGTTAATTTAGGCAGTCAAATAAGTAAAGAAAAAAGGTAGACACACAACATTAAATTTATTGGATCTTTTTACATGTTCTAAAATAATGGTGATGGATTTATAATTGGAGAGATTACTGAGTTAAGAAACATGATATTTCTGAATTTTGAAAGCTGCTTCTGGATGTCAATTTTAATTCTTTCTTTTTATCTTCCCAGAGCCTGCTCAAAACTCAGTTAAGTACTTAACATGGCATAGGACGGCATCATCTAGATCTTCTTCATCCAGGAATCCTTTAGCAGCAAACTCAAAAGATGATATGGAGGACGTCACAAGTAATCTCTTTGATAATTTCTGTATGAATTCTGGTAGTCATGCATCAACCTTGGATAGACTGTATGCATGGGAAAGGAAGCTCTATGACGAAGTCAAGGTAATTGTGTGTATTTTATGTTTTCAACAATTTCTGTGACTGTTATTGTTTTCTGCATGTTACCTTTTGGCAATAGAGTGTTTTGAACTCTGGTTCTAGATCTTAAACTAAGGCCTGAAGTCCTCTCTTAAAAAACTTTAATTGGCTTGGAAGGTGTTGTCAACTGAATAGCTTATATGATTTTGTTGATTTTCTTTTTCTTTTTCTTTTTCCTTTTCGAGCCTTGTTAAGAGGAGTAGAAGAAGGTCAAAGAGAACACTTATAAAAGTTGTTGACCGAGACCTTAGTTAACAACATTTCTAAAATTTTGGTGAATGATAGAACACAATGGCGTTGTACAATTCTTGTAATTGACCCCATCTAGTGAGATAAGGCTTGTTGCTGCTGTTGTTATTGTTTCCTTTTTAAGGAAAAAGTTACATGCTGTGGAAGAGCAGACATAATCTCTTTCTTGGTGGAAAAGTTAGGTTTTTTGATAGGTCTTCTTATTTCTCTGCTTCCAAAAAAGAAAAATTGTTAAAAGTCTGCTAAAGCAGGTAACGGAGTGAAAACAAGTATAATTGATACATTAATTTGCCATGATTTTGAAATATTATTCTTGATTTTCTTCCCTTCCTCTTGTCTCTCCCTGTTCTCCGATTCTTGAGTATTAACTTCAATTCTGTCCAAGTGTTAAGAGCTATGTAAATCATTCTCCGTGACATGCTTGAATGCATAAGGTGTTAATTGGTTACTTGATATGGTGGCAGAGTATCAGTCACCTTTTTATTTATTTATTTATTTATTTATTTATTTTGCCAGTTTGTGTTGCTGGCAAGATTGCATTGCAGACTACAATTTTTCAGTTTTAAATAGGATTGGGTTCCAAACCTCACCTAACATATTTCACTGCACACTACAATCTGAAGTTTATCTCTGTTTTTTTTTTTTTTTAACTGTAAAAGATTTTGTCTCTGTTGGTTAACCAACAATCTGAAGTGGCACAACTTTCAGTCCTTCACATCTCCGTAGGATTTGAAAATCCTTGGTCATGCCCGCACCTGTGAAATGCATTGTTTATTGTTTTTCTAAATTTATGGGCTGGCTCATTTCTTAACAAAATGGACAATGTATGATTTTAATCATTGAATTCAGTTGAAAAATGCAAAATGAAACTTTATTTGCGGAAGCCTTATGGCATACTCATGAGGTGAAAGCTTTAACTGTCCCACACAGATGATTGGTAATTATATTAAGTATTATTGGCCTAATGATTGGCTAAGGGGAGATGACTTCATTTTTTAAATTGAACAAGAAATTTCAGAAAGTTCCATCTGTTTGAATATGAGCAGATTGTCCCTTTGTTGACATAAAATTTTAACATAACTAATGCAACTTCAGATGTTTTTCTGTCAAAACTTCTCCATGGTAGGAGATCCCACACTAAAGCAGAGGAAGGCTAGTTTATTGCATGTAACATGTTCTGCTGATAAAATTGGACGAGCTACTATAATGGCCTACCAGCAGTTCTCCAGAAAGATTTATAAACAATTCTAGTTTCATTTTGATATCATCTCATTTTTAGAGATGTTTTTAGTACTAACCTAATTTTGAAAAGCAAAACAAGTTATCCTTTCTCATTGCAACGTCAACATGTTTGCTGTGTTGATGCTGCGTCTTAAAATTTTGACTTGTTGGAGAGATCACAGTAATGTGCTGTTTAAATTTTGTCTTTCAAGCTTCCTCTGGGTATTTGGCACCCATATCAAATCTTGTTGGCATTGAGCATTAACTAATATAGAATATTGATAGCTAGAATTTTGTTAACTTTGGTAAAATTTTCATGGTAATGGGGACTAACAAACCATTCACTGGGTTTTGTCCTGAACATATTCTGGTGTAAAGGTTTCGCTTGTACGGTACAGATAATAAAAGTGTCAAGTTAAGCAAGCAAATGCTTGCACTTCGTCTTATGGCAGATTAGATGTGATGCATGGGTATATACAAGCTTAAAAATATCAACAGCAGTTAAAAATTTAAGGGTAACTATTAGTCGGCTACTGCAAATTGAATCTTTCTGTTCCTTAGGATATGAATCTTTAGTCCTTATAAACAATACTTAATAAGATGCATTGTTAAGTTTTAAATAGATTAGACAAATGTCATAATTATCTGCAAAATATATTCTTGTAAGTAGTCTGATGAGCCACTTAATTATGTTTTGTGACGAAGGTCCTTTAAAATGGTATAGTAAAATAAATGCAAACCTTGAAAGAAAAAAGATTTTGTGGATTATTATGGGCCAATGGGAAACAATTTGAATTGAAAGGGGAAATAACCTCTTAGAAACCAGATGGCATCACTTGTCGCAGATTAATTTAACGTTCTTTTTATGTAGAGATCCAGATCCAGTCATGCCTATCAGGCTATTTGATCATTGTGGCTCTAATTACATGCATATTTGTCTGATTAATAGTTACATTGTTATTCGTAAGGCTCTCCTTTTCATGTAGAAGATGATAATTATAGCTTAAAACATGGACGTTTTCTTTGTCATGAGTAGGTTTCGTAGATAGCAAATGATCCAGATTTACAAATTATATGGAGTTCTATCTATGATATTTTAGTTGCCTGTTTGGGGTTGATCTAAAATCCACATAATCAGATCATAACTGCAGCAACATGTTGATAATCTTAATTATGCATTCAATGGACCGGACTGAGTCAGATCTTGAAAAGTTGTTTGATTTGGATTTTCTGCACATTTTAACAAGTCTGAGCTGCATCCAATGGGCATTTCAGGCAAGTGGGTTGGTCAGAAGGGAATATGACATGAAGTGCAAAATCTTAAGACACATGGAATCAAAAGAAGAGAAGACCGCCACAATTGATAAAACCCGTGCTGTAGTCAAGGATCTACATTCAAGAATTAGAGTTGCAATTCACCGGATAGACTCTATATCAAAGAGGATCGAGGAATTAAGGGACAAAGAGCTTCAGCCACAACTTGAGGAGTTGATTGAAGGGTACGACCCTGGTTTCTCTTTGTTCCTAAGGGCCTGTTTCATGCTATCATGATTTGGTTTTATCATACATTGCATATTTAGATTTGCTAATAACATTTGCATAAATTTTTCTTGATAAGTCTTTTTACCAGCAAATATTTTGTTGAAGGCTACGAATTTATCAAATGCAAATTTAATCAATGGTTTAAAAAGCTCGTTTACTGAAATTTAGGTTCTTAATTTTTGGCAGCCATTCAATATCTTGATCATGCAGCTGAAAATCTGAAATAGATTATTGTTAGAGGTCCATTATCAGTTTTCATTGTTAAATAGAATTGAAAAAGGTTAATGTTTTCAACATTATTCTCGTGTAAGAGACTACTTTCTGCATTTTCCTTTTCCACGTGTTGCTAGTATTTTTTGTTACTCTTTGCTCTTCAACACCAGCAGAAAAATTCTGTGGGGTCCAAAGTTCTGGTCTAGGGAAAAGATCCAAATGTTTACTGCCAACTTTTCTTTAAGAGTGAAAAGTCTGAACTTGTCTAAATTATGTCTACTGTAATCTTCTGGCTCAAATGCAATTGACAATCTGCCATGTTCTGGTATTAAGAAAGAGAATATCTGTAATAATTGATGATATTGGATTGCAGAAACATACCGGTGCAGTATTTCTGATCTTCTTCACGTATCATTTGAATAACTAGGATAAAATAAACTACTTATGTCATAAGATATACTGCTTCATATGTTATGTCTCTAATTTGAATTTCTTGCTTGTGTTCAAACTTTTGTTTCACTTTGATGGCAGGTTAAGTCGGATGTGGGAAGTGATGTTCGAATGCCACAAGCGTCAGTTTCAGATAATATCAGCAGCCTATAATAATAGTCATGCTACAACCACCCCTCAATCTGAGGTGCGGAGGCTGATAACTCCCTATCTAGAACATGAACTCCATGCTCTATCATCGAGTTTTGCCAAGTGGATTGAAGCTCAAAAGTCTTATCTCGCATCCATAGATGGATGGCTTGGCAAATGTGTTGTGCTTAAACAAAAATCATCCAAGAGAAAAAATCGACCGCCCCCCTTGAGAAACTATGGCCCTCCTATATATGCCACTTGTGGTGTCTGGCTGGAAAAGCTCCAGACATTACCTACTAAGGATGTTACAGATTCTATAAAGAGTTTAGCGGCTGAAACTGCCCGGTTTTTGCCACGTCAAGAGAAGAAAGGAGCAAATCATCCTCATACAACAACTTGGAAGGATGATAACGGTAGTGAGTCTCGAGACAATTTATTAGGAGATGATGCTTCAGAGGACTGGGTGTCAGGTTTTGATAGGTTTCGAGCAAGCTTGATCAGATTTCTTGGCCAGTTAAATGATTTTGCCGGGGCTTCTGTTAAAATGCACGGAGAACTTCGACAAGCAATTCAGGATCGTAAAAATCAATACCATCGGTTGAATTCTCTTTCTCAAGATGGCCATTTGAATTCTCAGCCTCAAGACAATCAATCGAAGGCACAATCTCAAGCTGTCTAGTCACAAGAAAAATTCTATACGATATCAGAGAACATGCATGAAAATTCTGTCAAACCCACGAATCAACTTTACTTTCAGAGACAGTCCCTTGGAGGTTGCATTCTTACGTGGAATGATATGGAAGGTAAGAAATAAAATGCTGATTGGCTATAGTTACTTTCCTCGTTTAACAATAAAAAGTAACTGATAGATATTTGCTTTGAGGAGTTCCTGGTAGAGAAGAGGGAAGAGGCGTGCATGCAAAGAGTCTGAACTTGTATGGTGCCAGTTTTGTAAAGAGTGGACTATCATACCAGTGAGATGCATGTTTCATCAATTTGGTCTCAGAAATAAATATCCTTTAATTTCTTTTCCTTTCTTTTTTGGGAAGAAAGGAGCTCATCAACATAGTCATGCTATGGACTTAAATGGATGGCTGACTGAAACCATAGCAATATCATATTGATGGGTATTCTCCAAATTTTTAGTCATACATGATGCCTATTTCTGAAAATTAAATTGATGAAACAAGTTTCTTCAAGCCTTCAATGGTAGTTTATTCATTTTGTAAACAGAGGATGCTTGGCAGGACTTCTCTCTTCCTTCATATTTTCCGTCACCAATAATTTCATTTTTTTTCATTGATGTATGTATGTATGTATATGCTTACAAGCCATGGGGATTGGAATTCCTTAAATTAGCTTTAGATCTTAATACATGTTATGCTTCTGGTTTCTGAACTCGATTCATCTTTATTGATTTCCAGCAGTTTCATTTTGGAATTCCGATAACTTCTGTGTGTTTGTATTATGATGGTTGTGAATCAGTAATTCCTTTACACTGAACTGTATGAAAGTCCTTTGTAGTATGAAGAATGATTTAGATATCATTTTATTCAACTACACAGCATAGACGCATACAGCTTCAGCTTCCCTGGGGATACTGATTTAATTTGCATGATCAGGGAATTTGGAACACGTCAATGAAGATTTCTATCCAAACCCCAAGTCAAAATTCTAAAGGCAAGACACAACAGTTGTTCTCTATATTTTGATTTTTTTTTTTTTTAAGTGGAATGTTTTTGTCTAGAAGTCTCAATTCAAACATTGATTTGGTTGAGATTAACTCTTTGTTAAGCCCAACCACATTGCAAACGGATCAAATTAAAGTGCATGGAAAGAATAAAATAAAACTATAAGGATTAAAAGCAAAATGCAAACAAAATTTAGGGACTTACATTTTTCTGATTCTAAATTATATTGAACAGATGCCTTTTCTCTATTACTAAGCAAAAAGATTGCCTTGTTTGGCACGGAAGCTTGGAGCTTTGAACATGAATAGAAGACTGCTGGATCAACCTAGAGAGATTCTCATTCACAAGGAACATATCATGAAATTAAGCGTCAGTGCCACCAAAAGATGGCAATGATCTGTCCTTTCAGCAAGTGCATCATGCTCATAATTGGGTTGGCTGGACACTAGAGATCCCAAGCTTTAATTCAATATTTCAAGTTGGAGATCTTTGATTTCTATCATGTTTTGATGATCAATTGTTAAATGCTTTAATCAAAACTAACTTTTTTCAAAAGAGGGGGAGGGGGTGGGAAATGAAAAGCTTATCTAGAGGAACAAGTTTACGTTAGAAAGTATTAATATGGATGGAATTCGTGAAAAATGTTGGATATATTTATCTTATATGGTCCTAAAATGACAATTTTGAGAATGTGAAGACATTATATGATATACATTCATGAGTAAACTATAATTTTGAAGTGATAGGTGTGTAGTTGGCCAAATAAAAAAAGTGATAAAACTCTTGATAAAAATGTTGCTACGAATCCTTATGTCAATGCAAGGACTTAAGATAATAGTTTGATCTCATGAAATATAATAATGATAACAAGGTCTTAAGGAATTTTTTTGAAATTAAATTTTTATGTGAAATTATTTTTATACCTTTCTGTGATTTAAAAAGTTGTAATTTTTTAAACTGTTTTAATCATTAATGAAACCAAACTTGTGAATATATATATCAAACTTGTAAATGATATAAAATTAGGTGGACTTTACTTATAAAAAATTGTGATTTTTAAGATCATTTTAGTCATTAGTAGAACCAAATTCACAGATACTTATGAGTCCATTTGGATTTCAGTTGGGTAATTTTATAGTTAAATTTAATTATAATTGATTATATTATAATGCAATCTGTTTAGAAATTATTTTTTTAAAATTAATTTTAACATAATTGAATGTGTTTGAATAATTTAGTCAGAATTAATTTTATCTATATATATTACTGTAAAGAACATTACTTTTCAAAATTAAACGAAATTATTAATAAATTTGTATTTAATATTATTAAATTTGTCAAATTTTATTTAAGAAGTAAAATATATTATTTCAATTATATATCTGATTAATTATAAAATTTAAATTAAACGTGTAACAACACAAGGGTAAATTTTGGCAGTTTAGAGATGCCGACAAATAATTAATGTTTTGACGGTAAAATTGAATTGATAAGTAGCCCCTCTCCAACTGATGTCAAAACAACATTTTGCCTCAATAATCAATTATTCAAATTTTTGGCTGTTTGAAAAAATTTTGTTGATAATGGTTATTTGGCCCAAATAATCAATTAATTATTCAATCCAAACAGGCTGTATATCATACTTGTAAATCATATAAAATTAGTTAGCCTTTGCTAAATGAATAAAATTGTTGATAGAAATTGTGATTTCCTCAATCATTTTAGTTATTGGTAGCACCAAACTTGCAAAAATTTATACCAAACTTGTGAAACATATAAAGTTAATTAAAGATGGGTATTAAAATAATTTTACATAAAAATTTAACTTCAAAGAAATCCCTTGGAACATCATTGTTATTATCACAATTCGTGAAACCAAATTATCATCTTTTATTTAAGAAAAATTTATCTGTCATTCTCCCATAATTTTTTTGGATAAAAAACCAACTGCAAATTAAATTAGATAACAAAAATTACAACAGAAAAGTAAGTGAACACCATTCTTTTTTTTGCAAAGGCAGCAAAAGCCATGGTGTCTTCTTTAGTCCATTAACAGAAGAAACATGACAAGATTTGATCAAATCTAATTCCTATGGCAGATTAGTTATGTTGTGAGCAAGAATTTCAAATTGTTCATCTAAGAAGAGGAATATTCTCTCAAACGACCCATTTAATTCACCAGACACAAAAAAAAAATTGACAGCCTTTAACATAAATATAAAATCCTAATTTAAATTCTTAAAATTCTGCAGGCAACCATTTGGAATTAAATTGTTCGTGCTAGAAAAAAAAATAACAAATCTGATGTTTGATCAAAGCCCGGCCCATTTCAAACAAAGAAAGCGACTCCTATGATTTAAAAAAAGAAACTTAAGAAACCGACTGTTTTGGGGAAAAAAAAAAAAATGGACAGCGAGTCTGTCTTGTATGTTTGATTGCTTTATGTTACATTCATTATTTTCATGCTAAGCTAATAGAATAGTAACACACTAACACAATTAATTGTATCCTGTTTATTCATCAAATACATGGATAGATAGATCAAACATATGATAATTAAATATGTCGAACATACCACCTTTATTGTTGTTGTTGTTCTTATTGTTATTGTTATTATTAAGATAAATGAGCAAATGATCCTTAAAACTATAGGTTCAAAAGAATTTGAGATCTTAAACTTATCTTTTATATAATACTCCTCTGTTCAAAAATATAAAGCATTTTTAATCAAATCTCACTCTCAGTAAAATAGTTACCTACTTTTCAACTAACTCTATTGTTTTATATTTATCCCTAATAAATACCCTATAATAAATATAAAGTCATTATCAATAGGAGCACTTTTAAAAAAAAGGCAATGATTATATCTCAAAAAACTAAAAATGTCTTACATTTTTTAACACCCAACTCCTCAAAAAATGCCTTATATTTTTAAAAAGAGGGAGTACTTTCTTTTAATTTTGAAAATAGTGCAATCTGATCCCTATATTAATAAAAATTAATTCTAACCATTAGTTGATTAGAAAATGATAAAAAAAATTCAAAAATTAAAAAAAAATCCAAAAATTACAGTAAAGAATTCAAAAATCATAGAAAAAGACAAAAAACTTTCTTGATTTATTTTTTGGTAATTTTTGGGTCTTCTTTATAATTTTGAAGGTATTTTTTTAATTACCTAATAATTAAAGTTAACTTTTATTAACAATAAAGGTTAGATTACACAATTTTCAACAATTAAAAAGAAATACTGTACAAAAGATGATGAGTTTAGGATCTTAAATGTTTCTAAACTTATAGTTTAAAGGATAATTTACTTATATACCCTTATTATTATATGGTCCATTTTCACGTCTAGAATATATTTTTCCATGAATAGTTTTATTTAAATCAACATCTCATGGAAATAAAGTAACATGAATTATCAATTGATGGGCTCATCTAAGCGACAAGGAGTTTAAATTTCTTAAGCGAAGTCACGATTTCAAATTTTATCAATAGATCATAAAATAAAAATCAGGAAATGTTAAGAGAGTTATTCTTTAAATAAAAAAAACAACATATATACGAATTGAATTCCCCGTAAATGTCTGGTATTTGATTGAGTTTTAAACTTTAATTGATTGATCATTTCAAAGAAAGAAAAATTAGGTCCTGATTAAGTTTCAATTCATTTGATACATGGACATAGCCTTTTTGTTTAGGTACAATATCCTTATCCTTCTTTATTAATTTTGCATAAACAAAGATTGAGTTATCAATCAATGGTGCTTGGTTCAACTGATTGATAAAGTTGAATCAGCTTTTTTGTGTGTCTTAAGTTAGAGTCTTGCAACATGTAATCGCGTTAAATAAAAATGTTAAAAATATTTTTAAGATTTCGGTTGTGCATGAATTTTATGAAAAAAAAAATTTAGTCCAAATCTTATAAGTGAAAAAAGTTATATTGCATAAAGTTTTAATTAGAGCCTAATCATAGTAAAATCTGAACTAGTTATATAGAACCAAACGCTAAAGTATGAGGAATTAGAGTTGAATTTAACTATATAAACTTTTTCTATACGGTAAGATATTTTAAGCCGATATAAATAAACCGGCTCGAATTAAACCTAACTCAAATAAACTTGGCCTATCTAAATTACTAACTCCAGAGTGGATACATCAAACAAATGAAATTAATTATTCAATCATCATTGTCTTTACCTGCTCTTCAGGAATAACTTCATCCAGTTTTGTTGACTATTGCCATTCAAGGCTGTAATTGAAAAATGATAAATGCCACCCACAAATTGATTTCATATGGGCTTAATTAGATGTTTTGAGTTTGGATTCAAAATATATAGTTGTGTAAATAATAGAATTTTCATCCAAGAGTTCTAACATGACTCGATCTAAATTATTTTGGTTTTCATTAAGTGCTTGGGATTCACATTCAACAAAACAAAAATCTTTATTTTTTAACCAAAAAGCAAAAGTCCTTTTTAAATGTAATTTAAACTAGAAAGTGGTTTGAATTTAAGTCACTTAAAGTAGTTGTGAGGCAAAGTTATAAAATTAATTTTAATAAGAGAGTAATGTATAATTTAACTTTAATTTTATGTTAATATCATCGTTTTGTCAAAAGTGTACGTGGCCATTACATCAACAATTAAATAAATTGACTCACATAATTTAAAAAGACTAAATTATTCTGTCACAGTGATTGCGCTCTTTCATTTTTTTTAGCTTTTGCATTTTCTCCATCCGTTAGAAAATATAAATTATTTTTGATAAAATTTTATCCTTCAATAAAGTAGTTATCTACTTTTAAACTAATCCTGTCTTTTTATATTTACTCATATTAAACACTCTACAATAAATATAAAGTCATGCATTAATAGAGACATTTAAAAAAAAAGTAATAATTACATCTTGAAAAATTAAAAATGCTTTATATTTTTTAATATCAAACTCTTTTAAAAAATGCTTTACATTTTTTAACGGAGGGAGTACCTTTTATTAAAAAAATTTCAATTATTCTTTTTACTTGTATTTTTTTAATTTTTTAATATAATAGTTTGATGTTTAGTGTTATTAGATAAAATTTAAATATTTTCATATTATTCAAAAGTAACTCTATTTTTAATTTCATCACCTAATCTCTTGTCTAGACTAATCCGGCCCCTTGATATATGTAATTGTTTTTACCAACATCAATCTTACATATTGCTACTTATTTAATACAGTTACGTATTCCATGACTTGAACCAGAAATGCTAAGATATAATAATTTAACTCCTTTTGAGTACATGAAGTTTAAAATTCTAAAATTTAAACCTAGATCATTAAATTCTAAAGGCTTACATACATATTTAATTCTTTAATTTTATACAATGCTTTATTTTAATTCCTTAACATTATAAAATATTTTTTTAATCCTATAACTCTAAAATTGTTAATTTCATCCCAATAAATTTTTACATGAACATTCAAATGTTAACAAAACATTCTTAAATTTTGATATATGAAATTTAATTTTTTTTTCAAAACAACTATGATTGACATAAAAAAAATCATTTAAAACTAATAGTATTAAGGTTAAAGGATTAAAAAAGTACTTTATATAATTAAGAGATCAAATTAAAACTTCATATAAAATTAGATGATTAAAAATATATTTTAACCGATTCTAAAATTATCTCAGAACTTCCTATGATAGATTTAATTCCAACAATAGATGACTCAGCAAATTGCAGACCTAATTTCCTTCGTTTTTTTTTTTTCTTTTTAAAGCTTGACTTTTTAATATACTACTTCCTAATTCCTATTGCTACTGTCACACTGCGTCACTTGTTCCCTGGACTTTTCCATGATTATATAAAATAAGTTAATTACAATTAACTAATATAAACATATTCACATGAGATTGTTAAAACATCATTTTATTTGTCTGCTTTTGTATGACTTAATCAAATTTTGTTGACTAATGTACTATTGGTTTCAGTTGTAGCGATTAGGTTGTGTTTGAAACCAAAAATGTTCGATTTTTTTCACCAACAGGTTGTAATTAACTATTGATTACATCATCATCATCATCATTATGTGACAGATTTTCCAGCCGTGAATTTTGCGTTATGCAACTTGGCATGTTTGGTTAGGTACAAGACAAGAGATTGCTTCCAAGTTAACTCAACCTTCCATTTATTCTAAAAATGCACATTCAATTCCAACCATCCAAACATGACTCAGTAACACGTAGACTTTTTCCTCTTTTTGCTCATTAATATACAAACAGCTGGAGGTGGTCGTGGAGCCTGCCCGGGAATCAAGCGTGCAGAATAATTTAATAAAAATTAATATTTTTTTTAAAAAATAATAATTATATTATAATTAAAATTATAATAACATAAATAAATTTATCATATTTTTCATTTAAAAAAACTCACACTAAACAACTTGATGTGATTTTTATTATAAATATATTTTTTATATTATATTTAAATTATTAAAATATTATATATTTAATAAATTTTTTAATTTAAATATTTTTTATTTTATCTCGAAGGTGAAAATATTAAGAATAAGGATATAAAGTTATAAAATTTATCTTTTTTATTTATAATTTTTTCTAAAGTGACTGCACTCCCTAGCTAAGCTTACAGCTGCCTAGTTCTAAACTCTATTTTTTGCTTCTACTTTAAAAATAAAATAAAATACCAACAGATTTTGATCCTAATTAAAGCTTCGAAGAGGTCATGGCCGTTTAAGAACAAGGTTTTAAATTTGAGTTCATGCAAATATAAAAAATATTTTTAAAAGAATTCTTCTTAATTGAGCCAACTAATACTCAAATTTAACCCAGTGTAATAACTATTCAAAAAATAATTAATTTTAGCTCTCCATATTCTGGGTAATTTTCAATTGTGCTTCCCACCCATGTGTATTTGGATTCACTTTGAAATGTTGAACAAGTGAACTAAACCTTGGGATTTGATAATAAATGTAAGAAATTATTTCATTGAAAGTGTTTTTGCTGTTAGATTTCAAAGAATAAAGTTCCAATATTATTTTTATTTATATGTATTCTTATGAAATAACAATAAAATAAGAGCATTGTTTTTTTTCCCCGGCCAGCAAGAGCATCTTGATTTATCCTATTCCACAACCTTCAATTTAAAAAATCGAGTAGGAAGAAATCAATGAGCCAAATAAAGTGTAGAGAACCATCAACATGAAATGTATTATTCTATCCCAAATATATCTATAAGATCTTTCTCTGTGCAAATAATATTATAACATCTGAAGCAACAAATATAATGCCAAACAAGTATGTCCCCAAAACGAGTTTATCCTAACCCTATACCCAAACATCTCCACTCTCATCACCATAGATCCACACCGTAATCACAATCCTTTGAAACCACCTTAGCCTGCGCCGTTAGATTGTCCACCGTTACATCGCAGTCAACTTTCACGGTAATCTTCCACGTCTTAACGGAACCAACCTTGATCTTCACTGGCGCCCTCAGTTTCAGCGTTATCGGCACGCTCCGTTTGCTCTGCGCATTCACTAAAGCCGTCGCATCCGTTGTCGTAAGCTCAATGTCAGACCCCTTTAACACCGTTTGAAACACCGTGACATTATTTGACGGCTGGTAAAACGCCGGCAGCGCGCCGTTACATAGCATCACCTTCTTGTAGTAAACTTCCACAGAGCTATCCTTCTCGTAGTAAATCCCGATCTTCTTGTTAGGGTTATCGGCGCGAACGGCGACGTCGAACTCCGGCGATATCGCCGACGACGCGGCCGCTACCGATGTGAGGTTAACTCCTTTGACGGAAATGCTGTTGATTGTATAGTCCGGCGCCTTCGGTCGGAAAACGAGGTACATAACACCAGCGGCAATACCGAGGAGGACGATGAGGATGAAGATGAGACCGATCAGCCAGCAGAGGCAGCAGCAGCAAGAACTACGGCGGCTCTTCCGACGACCGTACTGGCTCTGGCGGGGAGCATTCTCCGGCGGAGGAACGCGGTAGACTTGGTCCTTGGGGATCTGGATGACGTAGGTGCCAGTCTGCGGAGGCGGGACAGGCTTCGCCGGCGCTGGTGGGGTAGGTTTTCGGGGGACGCCGTGCTCCTGAGACGATGTTGGTTGGGATTCGCCGGAAACGGGAGGCGAATCGCGAGGGTGAACTCGGTCAGCCATTGAGTGAGTCAGGGACGAGTGCGGATGAGAGAGCTTCAAAGAATCAGAAGTCTGAGAGAGAGGAGAGAGTCAGTGAATGAATGAGAGATCTGATCAAATGAAGGAGTGTTAAGTACTACAGAGAAAAGAAACCGCGTGACGCGTGAAGGTAGCACAAAGTAATATTATACACGTAATGGGGGTAAATGTGGAATACGAAAGTGACATTAAACTTCCCAGTTCCCATTCCGAATGCTCATTCCGTTCAATATTATTATGAGATTTTTTTTTTCAAAATATCATGTTAGAGAAATATAAAATATTTTAAATCTTTTTAAGGTATAATTAATAAGATTTTTTTGATAATATCCTTAATTAAAAATTTAAATAATAATATTTTTAATTAAAATACTCTATTAAATAAAAATAAATATAAAAATAAATATAATTTTAAAAATAATTAACTATCTAATTGAAGTGTAGTTCAATAACAAGTGCCTTATAAAAAAGTATAAAATATATAATGTAAGCGTAATTTTAAATCTAACCCATTTTGTATTTTTTTGGTAATCAACTTATTTTGTATTTTAAAAAGCTTATATTTTTAGATGACAATGCTATAAGTAAGATTTATTAAATCTTAATTTAAAAATGTATCACTTTAAAAAATTAATGGAATTTATTTAATTAATTTTTATATAAGAAGGTTAGTTTTATGTTTTTTTTTTTAAAAAAAGTTGGTTGATTTGAGGGAATAATTTGTTCCTTTCGTTGTCTTGTTTGTGACGCGCACGTTATGAGCAGTGTACATCTATATCATGAGTTATGACTAATGACTATGTTATTATATTTAAAAATTAAGAACCTTCTTTGGTATGCCAAAGAAAAAGAAGAACTTTTAATGATTTTTCTATTTTAAAATTGGCCGTATAATCAGTAAAACACAATCATCAACGTTTATTTTCCCCCTTAAGTTTTGGCATTCAAATTTGTTATATTTTCGCTTCTTAAGATTATGATGTGTGTATATGAAATATAAAAAGTCCAAATTTTCTGCTTGAAGAAAAATAATATCATTCTATTAATTTTCATTCTATATATTAACATAAAAAATTTAATTAAAAACAACGAAGAATATCGTTTAAGACTTTTCTTAACAATGATTCAAAATATATATAAAAATTGTGCGTAATCCAAAAGAATAAAATTCACTTTATCTTTAATATTCATTCATATTTTTCCAATTTTACTACGAACAATTACTTTGTGGTTGTAAAAAGACTAAAATCAAAGAATGTATAAACCGCGGTTATAAAAATACTTCGAAAAACATGTAAACAAAATACTTCGAAAACAAAAATTCATGTATCCAGAAAAGTCTAATTAATGAACACAAAATTAAATTGGGAGAGAGAAATTTACATGAATGAACACTTGAAGTGGAAGATGAAGGCTAGAGAGAGACAGAGAGAAGTGAAGAGAAGAGAGGGAGAGTTTGTATATTTATAGTGTATGGGGGACACAACATGACAACATAAGGAAGGCAAATGGAATGTGTAGTCATTAACTATTAATTATTAATATTAAAAAATAAAATATAAAGTACTAAACTTTTAAGTTCTAATTCCTGAACCATTTTTTAAAAAACAAAGTTTGAAGTACAATATGAATTTTTTTTACATAAAAATATTTTTTTATTAAAAATAATTATATTCAAAACATAATCAAACGTTTCATCTAATAAAAATGTAAATTTTATCCATCATATTCACTGTGAAGGTCTAATTTCTTCTGCTAGATAGTCAAGCTAATTTTTTTATTTAGTACCATCCACATAATTTACATTTGACATTAACTAATTTGAATTAGGTCGATTTAAATTATACAAATTTAAAGTGCTCTCAATGATTTGTTTTTTCTTCATATAAGATGAAATCACTAGAATTAAGTGTTATCAATCGATTCTTTATTTTTGTCTATAAACTATTATTTGATGCCCTTTTTAATTTGGGTATTGCAATCGGTATCCTAAACATGTCTAATTCAAGTTGAAAAAATTTAATGAGACTCAAACTAATTTAAATAAAATACTTGTGAGACTATTCCAGATTAATCCGGACCGAGCACTTGTAAGATGCTGTCAAAATAAGTAGCATTGAAATGTGCCATTGATACCAAGTAGTACAGGTTTTTGACAAATTTTTATTATCAATTTAATTCTAAACTTTTAAAATACATTACTTGAATATTAATTTAACGTTAAATTAATGAACTATATGAATTATACTAATGTATAACCTTTTATTAAGAATTGAGAGTTTGAGACCACCGACCATCTCGACCACCACTAAACCAAACCTACTAACTCTAAATGCAAGAAATATACAGAGGTAACGAGGGGGAAAAAAAGTTAATATCCATTCAATCCACCATTTTATATACTCTCATCATTAAGGGATTGAATTTTAAAAAAATATAAAATATTTTTATCATTACTTGTTTTTTAAAAGTGTTCATGCTAAATAAATTACTTTATATTTATTTTAAATTAAAACATCATATAAAATAAAAATAAATATGAAAAGATATAATTATTTTAAAAATAAATAATTATTTTATTAAAAGTGAAAAAATTTAAAATACATTACATTTTTAAATAAATAAAATATTTATTTAAGAATAAAAACAAAGCTAAATCACCAAAATCCTTTTTCAATTATTATTATTTTTTGAAAAATAGGAAAAAGATATGGACATATGGTCATGGAAGGACGCAAGACAGACAGAAGGAAAGGCGTGTTTGGTTGTCATATTTTGACATTTCCGTTTTAACGAGTTTTTTCAACGCACACGCATGGTGACGTCACTGTCGTGACTCGATCGGAAATTCGGGATTAAATTCTCTGCGTGTTTTGTTGGCGCATGACATACGCGGTTTTATAAGGATACTGCTAGCTGCGCGCGGCTCACAAAATGACATTAATGCCCTCACCGTCAGATCTCCTTTCCTTTCCCTACTAACTCGCCTCCTACTCCTAGGCCATAGCTGTTAGTTTTGGAAGCAGAAAAGTGAAAAAAGCAAAATAGAATAAATATTTTTTTTCTTTTTCTTGCTCTTTTTTTAAAAAAAAAAACAAATAAGATCATGCAACAAAAACATGTGCTTTTTTTCTTCTTTTTCTGACATCATTTTAATAATTTTATCTTTTTTTATGTCCTCACCTTTAATCCAAGTATCTTATATATTTAGTACTCAGGTCATGTTTATATAGCCACAAGGCGTCTTATAAATTATATGCACGTTACCAAAATAAAAAATGTCTTACATTTTATGTTTATATTTTTATTTGGAAATTTACTATTGAAATATCGTCTTGTTAAGTTTTAGTTAAAAATTTATGCATTATTGTTTAATAAAAGATATTTTTTATTTATAAAAATTTAAATTAAAATGAAATGCAGATAGTTTTTTATTTTACAAGGACACTTCAAGGTCCTGAACATTTCAGTAAATCTTTGAGCAAGATGGATCAAATGAAAAAAAAAAAAAACAAATCTTTCAAATAAAATATGCTATCAAAAATTTAAAAAAATTAAACCAACATTGGTCCAAGTGAAAATGATTATGATTGTTACGGTGTAAGGTCTTAAATTCAAGTCCTTATAAATACAGTTTCAATAATATTTGAATCTAACCCGATTCATTAGAATTATAAAAAAAATAAAAAAAATGTATTCGGAACAATTTTAATGGCATTACAAATCTGAAAGACTTTATTGGCTATTTGGCTACTTTCTTGCGCGTGGATGAGGAGAAACAAACAAGAAATTTTTATCTGGATTATTAATTTTTAATTGAAGTATGATACATATATAATAGTTTTTTATACAAATAAAACATTACTAAATTATAAAATCATATTCACATGTTGATTAAATAATTGATATTACATTTCACTTTTTTATAAAAAAATTAAATTAATAAGAATATCGGTACGTTAGGTGCAAGCCTGTAGATTTTTCCTAATACTAACTACCTCACATGGTTATTAATTTATTTTAAGGAACTTTTGGTATCTTCATACTTACTCTTTAGGACTACCTAAAATAATTGACCATTTCGTCCGCCACGTAATGCCATTAGACTTTTCAATAAAAAAATAAAAATAAAAATATAATTTTCGATATACGACCTTAAAATAATGATATTTTTATTGAATGAGTATAAATTTTAAAATTATTCTAAAAGGTTCAAAGATACATAGAAGATTTTAAATCGTAGCAAATAATTGACAGTTCCTAATACAGGAAAATAGATTCATTACAGAAATCAATTTATGACCATCTTTATATTAATACCAAACTAATATATATATATATACATACATACATACAGATACATGTGCATAAACACATTACACATGTAAAGTAATAAAAAGACAATAGGTTGGGAACGCACATTCCAATTGGCAGTTGCCTAATTTCAGGACAAACTTTATATTCTTAATATACTTTTATCCAATAAGATAAGTGAATTTTAATATATTAATAATAAAAATTTATTATAAAATAAATAATATATAAAAAAATCTATGTGTTTTGATTTAATTAGAAATAAGTATTTTAAGTATATAAATTTTTTCCATTGCAAAAATTAAACCAAAAAACAAACAACCAACCCTGATGGGAAAATTAAATGTGTATTTAAAAAAAATATTTACAAACTTTTAATCTCAAATTTAACAACGGAGCTAGAATTAAGCATGAATTAAAAAAAAGTCTAAAAATGGGTCTGGGCCTTCTTTTTTTCTCTTCAAAAAGCTTGGCCCAAATTTTGGCAGGACCGAACATATGTGAGCAGACTGCTAGGCCCCACAATCTAGCCCGGCCCAATCCAAGTATGATATAGCTTAACTATGGAAGCCTGCTTCTCCAAAAGAAGCCACAAATGGTTTTTCTTTTGCTCTACAGTCTACACCATACAGAACAGATTTAGACAAACTTTTTTTTTTTTAACTTTGATTTTTTTAAATTTTTTTTAACTCTTAACAACTATCCACACCTCTCTTTCTCCCTGCTTGAGAAATTAAGATAACGTATTTTTTTAATTTACCGCACGGCAATACCTAGTATCCTAAACCTACTCATGTCAAGCTTAGGAGACTTAATGAGGCCTAAACTAATCTGAATTAAGCAAGGTAGGATCCTTTCGCGTGCCAAGCTCTGCTGCAAAGTTTTAACACCGTTGCATTCGCAGGGCTCAAACTCAAAACCCTTGGTTAAGCTGGAATAACCCTATGCCAATTGAGCCTAAACACTCAGTGACATGACATATCTTTTTTATTTGAATGAAGTAGAACACAAGGTGGTTTTTCAGTTGCCAACCTAAAAGAATGATGATTTAAAATCCAGAAAAGGGGGGGAAATATGGACGATCTTAATCAGATCCAAATAGTTCCAGATGTGAGAAGTTTCTTTGCTAACCAGGTTTGCCTAACCACTTCCCTATTTTGGAACCAAAAAGAAAGAGAAAAACAAAAACAAGATCTCTAGCAATATTATTCACTGGATAAAATAACACTAAATAACAATATACAATCTTCCACTTCAAGTGTTCTAAAGAATGAATTCACCTTCAAAAGAACTTTATTTTCCTAGGCTGGCATGCTACAATGCCTAGGGAGAGTTGTCACAGAGGGACTAAAAATTAATGAACGAACTAAAACACAAACAACAAAACAAAACCACTGGGGATAATCATGTTAGTGATCAATCAGAATTCCAAAACTCTACCTTAATGTTGAAAGATCCTCAAAAACAGTCTGCATGTCAGGCCTCTCTGATGCTGGAAGGATGCATCTAAGAGCCACCTTCAGCATTTGATCAAGAAGTCGGGGCCGGCATTCCCCACCACCGTGCCTGTCCAACAAGAGCAGCCTCTCGAAGCACTCACTGCCACGATTTTGCTCCGCCAAAAACTGAACCCAGTCTGCAAGGACAACAACTCCAGGGATCCCTGTAACAATGTCCCCAGAATTTCTTCCTGTTAGAAGCTCTAACAAGATCACCCCAAATGCATATACATCACTCTTCAAGGATGGGCATGGTTTGCTTGAGCATGCAAACTCGGGAGGCCGGTAACCAAGAATGCCTGAATTTTGAACTTGCTCGGCAGTACCGGCAGTGGTTAGAATCCGATGCAGGCTATAGTCAGTGAGCAGCACATTGTGGTTAGAAGTTTCAAGGAGGATGTTTGTGGATTTGAGATTGCCATGAGGTATGGCTTTCTCATTATGTAAGTAATGCAGACATTGTGCCACGGCTATGGCCACCCTGAACCTTTCATCAAGAGACATTGGATGAACATTCCTTCTATCTGCCTCAGTAAAATTTAAAATAAATTGATTAATTAATGAATAAAACCATGAATAGTCAGATTGACATTTGAAAATTCTGATGCTGCCGTTAAGTGAACAAGGATTGCAGGACGAAAGTGATTCTTACTTGTTGAACAGCATAACAGATATTAGTGTCTTCAAATTGAATCCCAAAAAGCAATATAACGTACATGTACGTGGTAGTCAATGTATAGTTATGAGACTCCAGTGGATTAATTTAGTGAACATTACAGATATATAATGCTTAAAAAGTTTGGGTGAACCTTATATATGAATTGTGTCAATGAGATTGAAGGACACTACAATCACCTTGCATTTAGATTAAATCTGCTTATGAGAATGGAGGTAGCAATTATTACTCCATAGAACACTACAAAACTTGATCACAAAGCTCTAATTAGTACCATATTAACAAACTAATCACCATATGAAGTAAAATATTGTTAAAAACAAATTACTTACATCTCATATAAAGAGACTTTGCTAAACAGTGCCAGATACATAATTGTTACACGCAAACATAATTAAGACACTAAAACAGTAAGGCACTATTTTGCCTTCCAAGATATCAAAAAACATAATCCATGTTATGAAAGTGTATATAGTAATGAACTCTTCATGATATCCAGATTGTACCTTTTTTTCTAATGCATGTGCATGACAGTTTTGGTAAAACAATGCGAGTCATTTATTGTTTTAACTACATCTTACCAGAAGGTATTATTGCTAATGCTAATATGAATAGAAAGCATGATCCAACTGCAGTTGCAGTCATACTTTGCAAATCAGACCCAAAAATTTTTCCCGAATAACCATGTAATAAATATACCAATTGCAACTTGGTCTCAAAATTGAATGGCCAACAATATTCTAGTTCATCATCAGAAAACTCGATTAATTCTATGGTCGCAACTTGCAAATCAAGTAGTAAGTATAATATTTTTTTTTTTACTTTTCATTTTCTGGTGATTCTCCAATAAACGTGCAGAAGAATCATTATGCGATAAACAAGCATACAAAGATAACATAAAACCAGAATCTTACCATGAAGATAAAAGTCCAAAGATTGTGCACTGACATAATTTGATATTATGAATTTGTCATTCTCCTTTGGACCCAAATAGTAACCCTGAAGAGAAACCAGACTTGGATGCTTGATGGTCCCAAGTTTTTTAACTTCCCTTGCAAAATCCTTCTTGTTTTTGGCTATTCCTTCCCTTAATGACTTGACAACCAATACATGACCTGAGTTTAGTGTAGCTTTATACAGCGTTCCATGACAGCTCCTACCAATAATTTCTGCTGTAGCACTAGAAAATTCTTCTGCAGTGAGCTCCAAGGCTCCATCAAATAGATTCAAATCCCCAAACAATTCATCTGGTGAGCATATTTTGAGAGCACTAGGATTCTCAAATGGATGGCTTCTAGAAGATGAAGGATTGGAAATTGAGAGAAAAGACATTGGAGATGATATTCCTTCCTCGTTCTTAACTAATTCAGAAAAGTCCAAATCTTTTGGCTTCTCTACAGCAGCATGAACATTTCTAACATCATCAGACCCCTTCTGGGTTGAAGATATTGCTTCTACGTGTCTTTTTGGTGCTTCACTGCCAGATGGAGAAGAACTATGATGAGAAATATCTTTGGTTCTATTTTCATGAGTAGCTGTTTGGTTTTGCCAGTGAACCCTATAAAAACTTATCACACTCAGAAGCACCATAACAAAAGCACCAGAAACCAAACTCACAATCAAGGCAATTTTGGTTGCAGATTTTATATGTGGTCTTTTTTCCTTCAGACCTAGTTCACCACCCTCTTCTGGTGAAGCAGGCAAATGTGGAAAGATCAGCAAGGAATTTCCGGGGTGAAATGCTGATTCAGGAAACTTCATTAACTTATCAGGCACAGCGCCAGAAAAATTATTGAAGGACACATTGAGTTCTCTTAGTTGATCAGAAAGATCATCAGGAATAATACCATCAAATTTGTTGTTACATAGGTTGAGACTTGCCAAATTGTGAAGCTTACTTATTTCTGCAGGTAGATGCCCGCTCAAGTTGTTGTATGAGAGATCAACGGACACTAGACTAGAATTTTCAGCATAAACCTGCGGGTTGTCTGGAATTTGTTGAAAATATATTGGCCCAGAAATGTTGTTGTGTGAGAGGTTAAGATCGGTCAATTTGGTCGAGGTGAAAAAACTTGAAAGGAGGACCCCAGAAAGTAGGTTGTGGCTAATATCAATCTCTTTGAGTTCTGGGTATGTTCCTAAGACCAAAGGGAGACTGCCCTCTAACAAGTTATTAGATATCTTAAGTTCAGTCAACCTCAAAAATTGTGTAGTTTGGTTAGGAAGCATTCCTGTCAATGAATTTGAACTAAGCTGAATCACCTCAACATAATTACCCCAATACTGAATCCTCGACAAGTTACCCGATAGCATGTTGTTACTTAAATCTATTATGGCACAGTGGCCCACCTTGAAAGGTAAGGGGCCTGACAGTTTGTTTGAAGATAAATTAAGCTTCTTCAGAGTTACAGAGGTAATGCTTCCAACAGGACCTGCAGACAAGAAAAGGAATGTTTTTAAGGAAGACAAGAAAGGAAAAAGGGAATCCAATAAAATATCTCAAACATTTTAAGGATAAGACATAGATAAAGTTCCTTAGGCTTTTTTATGGTCATGAAGTTCCTTATGCTTTATTACCAGATGCTCTAATAAAAGCATAGCATGTGAAGAAATAGTTTGAAAAATAATCAAGCATTTCAATAGTAAGAAAATTTTTTTATGCTGATTACTGGCCTTAATTATGCATTATGATGAAGTCACTACACTCATCAGAAACAAAACTTAAAAAATAAAAAATAAAAAAAAGAGCAAACTCAATTGGATCATAGTATAGGCATATTGCTATATGCTAAACTAAAATTTTCTACTTTGGCGAAAGAATATGATGGTATGCATGAAACTTCAAATCAAACTACCTTCAAGCTTGTTTTGACTAAGATCCAGTTCAGACAACATCATTGAACTCTCCTTCAATAGACCTTCTGGAAGAGAACCAGATAACTGGTTGCATCCAAGCCGAAGAATCCTCAGAGATACCACAAATGTGAAGGAAGGTATATTACCCACTAATTGATTATTACTAGCATCAAAGATCTCTAAACTGTCAAGGTATGGCATCCCATCATGAGCGAACAGATCACCAGTCAAGGAATTGTGACTAACATTTAAATACTGAATTGAGGAGAGAAAAGAGCTGTTTCCAAGTCCCAAATCCAGTGAACCAGAAAACCTGTTGGAGCTTAGGTCAACATGAACCACAGCACCCATATGAGAAAAGATATGCATAACATCCCCAGAAAAGTTATTAGAGCACATGTCTAAATACTTCAGCCGCTTGAGTTTGTCAAAGCCAATGGGAACTGTACCATCAAATTGATTTGTTGAAAGATTTAAATACACTAAATTACGTAACTCAAGCAAGTCAGAGGGTGCCATCCCATGAAACTTGTTGACTGAAAGATCAAGAAATTCCAATGACTCCATTGGACCAAAATGTAAGATGCTCCCTGTGAACTGATTGTTCGAAACTGACAAGTTTCGAAGCATTTTAAGGCCATTAATGGCAAGGAAATTAAACTCTCCAACCAAACCAGCATTATCCAGAGATATGGAGATGACATTGCCTTCAGCACAAGATATCCCATACCAATTCTGAGGGCATCCATCAGAAGCCAAAGACCTGGAATCCCAAGAATTAACTAGTCCAGAAGGGTCATTCTTAATGCTCTTCTTGAGTTCAAGCAGCGCATCAATATCTAAATTCCCTAACACAATTACTCCATGCAGGAATAATATTAAACAGATTGCCTGCATGCCTTCCCCAATAGCACCTACACCAAGCATCAACATCGATATGAGGAAAGTATAACAATACAACAACAATGAAGTTGAATGCACATTTACAACATTAATTAAGGACTGTGAAAAGTATTCAGAGGCGTTTGGATATCAAGAGGCATCCAAGAAGTCTGGTATCATCCAATATACCAGAGTCTACACCTCAAACAATAGGAATCTCACATCCCTACAATTTGGTCTTTGAACTTTCACTTCAATTCTCACGCCTAACATGAAAAATCTCAATTACCATGATGTACAAGAAAGCAAGGAACTGAGATGATAATGTACTCAACTGCTGCTCAAAGGCAATGCACGTTCAGGTAAAGGCCAAACAGTAGAAAAACCACACAAAGCATTCCTTTTTGCTCCTATAGTTATGAATCTAAACTACAAATTTTACAAAAATTGAAGCTTTTACTGGGTCAACTGCCCCATAAACTAGTTCGTCACTCTGAGCAACGAATCATAGTAATTAGAATGCCACCGAGAAATGTGCTCAAAAATAAACTTACTGCAAATTACAATGCAATAATCCTACCTCGTGGTTGAAATCCAGTGAAATTTAATGATGAAGCATACACGCGTGAAGAACAAACCCAGAAACCCACAGAGAACCCCAGTGAGAAAACAACGAGGAATCTACAAATCGTGAGGAGGAAAAGGTATAGTAATAGTACAATGCAGTGAGTGGAGAGTGAAGAAAAAGGAAGAATCTCGAGAGAAAGGCATGAGAAAGGAGTGAGAAGGAAAGAGCAAGAGGGACCAAAAATCTAAGTAGTTGGTGGGGTGGTGGTTTAGCTTTAGCATGATTGGCAAATACAAAACCGAATATTAAAAAAGGAGAAGAAGAAGGAGAAGAATTAAAAAAGGGTCAGCTCAAAGAGAGACTTGTCAAGATACCGTCTCTTTAGGGAAACTGCTTGGTCCCCTGGTTCAGAATGATTATTGTACTGTTTTACCTCACAGAGACTTTCTCAACTACCTCCTGGACTTCGTAGTAAAAGTACAGAACAAAAATGTTTTCTTAGGGTAGAAAAGTGTTTTTTTTTTTTCCTTTTCATACGTGAAAAAATTTAGGTCAGCTCCATCGTGGAGAGTGGAGACTTATCAAGTCATGATATGTTTTCTACATTTAAAATTTAAAAATACCTTTTTGGACATTTACAAATTACTTATTAATAAAATTCTTGACAGTAAAATTTGATTCTGTGATATGGATCATAGATCAAATTTTTACCATTGATCATTTTAGAAGTGTTCTTCCTTTCTTTTTCTTCTTCTTTTCGTTGCCAGAAAAGAACAAAAGTAGCTGGAATCCATACCTGTGGGGTTGGGCTCATGGAATTTTGAGGGAAGCTGCATAATTGCATATATGATTTATAGATAACGTGGATTTCTATTGATTATTTTCCGATACATCGGTGATTTGGATATGTCAAGACACATGTTGTCAAGTACTTTGTAAGGTACTATTAAGTGTTTTTTTGAATAGCTTATAAGTAGATTCTGTTTTTTTTATTTTTTTTAATGTAAGATTATGGCAAAGCCGTGCAGAAGTAACAAAAATTAAGTTCTTTTTTTTTCATATGAATCTACACGTAATAAATTTTTTAAAAAACAAAATCTTTAATTTTTATAATTTTATTGGGTTTTATTTTTAATTATTTTTGTTTTTTAATATTTTTAATCATTATAGTTTCAGAAAAATTGAGTTTCCTTTATTTTATAAGATCTTAAAACAAAATCCAATAAAACTATAAGAATCAAAAAATATATTTTTTTCTAAAATTTATAATTCGACTAGAAATATCTTTTTACAAGTTACATGGCATAAAAAGCTTAAAGGAGTAATATAAAGGATATTCTTTTCTGAAAATTTAACTATTATGGTGCAATAAGAAAATAATTTTAATATATGCGTCCATTATTTGGTAATCAAGTCTCATGTGTTAATTTATAACGAGTAATTTTGTATATATACTAAAATAAAAAGCTAATATACTTAATATTATATATTAAAAGTACTTATTTCCTATTAATTTAAAAAATGTGAAACTTTTATATACTATTTAGTTAATAATAATAAAATTTATTCATTTTGATTTGATTAGATAAAAACATATTAAATATATAAAATTAAGTTATGAGAATTGCCTTAACACACACACACAACATACAGAAAGTCAAATAGTTTATGAGTCATAAATATTACTATTCCAATTCAGTTTAGAATTTGTGTAAAACAAAAGCCTTGAATGTAATTATATTGTATTCTATCCCTTTTTTATTACATCAGTACATTGTATGCAATATACTCTTTTTTTTTTTTGCCAGTTATGCAATATACTTAAATGTTGGCAAAATACAAATAAAAATAAAGGTTTTGCTTTTTCATCTTTCTCGTAGAAAATATGTCATCATTAACCTCATCTATACGGAATGTTATAGTGTATATTGGTGCTTTAAAAAATATATTAAAAAATGTTATATGTACGTTGGTTAAATTTTGCTTTACAAAGAAATACAAGGAATGAGTTTTTGAAAATAATCAAATATTTTTTTGAAAAAACTTACTTCCTCCATTTAAAAATATAAGATATTTTTAATCAAATCTCACCTTCTAATAAAGTAGTTACCTATTTTCAAACTAACATTATATTTTCATATTTATCCCTATTAAATACCCTATAATAAGTATAAAGTTATTATTAATAGGAGCACTTTTTTTAAAAAAGATAATAATTACACTTTAAAAGATTAAAAATGCCTTATACTTTTAAACATCCATCTCCTCAAAAAATGCCTTATATTTTTAAATGAATGGAGTATATATTTAACCCAAGACACTTGTTTTTAATTAAATTAAGGTATATGAATTTTTAGAAATTATTTATTTCATGACAAACTCTTGGCAATAATATTAGTAAGGATAAATGAGCAAATTAGCCCCTAAGTTATAAGTCTAAAAGTGTCTAGAATATTAAACTTATTTTTTATATAATATTTCTTTTTAAATTTTAAAAACGATACAATATAATCTTATTATTAATAAAAGTTAACTTTTGATGGTTAGTTGATAATAAATGAACAGAAAAGCAACTCAAAAATTATAAAAAGATGACAAAAAAAATTTCTCTATCTTTTTCTATAATTGTTTGGATCCTTATCTGTGTTTTTGGTCCTTAACTCTAATTTTTCAGTCCATTTTTATAATTTTTTATGTCATTTTCTGTTTAATTAATTATAAAAAAAAATTTATTAATAGTATGTATCATATTATCTTACTCAAAAGCTGAAGAGAGAATATTGTATAAAAGATTAGTTTATGGTCACATACATTCTATAATTATAGTTTAAAAGTTAATTTACTCATTTACCCTATTACTAACACATTAAAATATACTTGTATTGATTTAATTAGATAAAGTATAATAAATATATAATATTAAGTACTTAAATTTTGTAAATATTTTTACATCTTCAAAAGCCAAATGCTACTTGTAGAAAAGAGCCATTGCGACTTTACGTATAATACAATCAACATGTCTCCCTAGACCAAGAAAATGAATAAATAAACTTCTCTGCCTGTCTACTAAAATGGATCAATTATTTTTTAGCACTATGATCACCTGAAGATTAGATGTATTTGTGCTTATGAGATTTTATATTTTTTCTTATTTCTTTATTGTTTTTTAAATTTCAATCAAGTGATTAATTTTTAATGAAAATATTACATTTATGTATGAGAAGTAAATAATACATAATATAATATTTATATATTTTCCAAAAGAAAATTTTTGAAGATTTTAAAAATAGAACAAAGTCGAGGTGATTTTAAAGAAACTGTAGATCTAAAGCTTGGTCTGAATGAAGAGAAAAAATAGGGAGAAAAAACTAAAAGAAGAAATTTTTAAAATTAAAAATTTATGTACTATTTTATTTATTTTTTATTTTTTACTATAATCGCTTCTTTTTTCATTCCGTGATTTTACCGCACCTATATAAACTTTTGGGAGAATTCTTCCAAGTTCCCACATAACAACTCAAAATAGGGAGAATGACAATTTAGTCTTGAAGAAGAGAATTAATGACAGTAATATCAATTCAAACAATAAAAAATTTTAAAGTTTTAATTGTAAATATGATATTTAAATTATAAATATAACAATTACTTTACAATTCAATCTTTATTTATAACTGTTTAAATTTATTTTTAATTTATTTTATAAAAAATTTTGTCGAAATCTAACTGTCATTAATTTATTCTTTTAAAATTTATTGTCAATCTCTCCCAAAAATATTCTAAAACCTCGCCAATTACACAAATTATTATGCAGTCTCAAGGTTCTTAGATGTAATTTTTTATGTACATTAACCAAAATACCCTCTCTCTTTTTTCAAAATAAAGCTCCCCCAACTGCACCAAAAGACAAAAACTGTACAGTAAACACACGCAAGATGATGTATGTGTATTTATATATAAAGAACTCAATGCCAACTGCAAAATATTAGTTGTCAACGTACTTTGCCCTATTAATTATCATTGTGTTGTAAGTAACTAGTATAACTTGTACATTTTATTTTCAACTTATTAGAGCACTTCAAATTATCTTAATTATCAATGTCTTTTGTCTTATTGTCAATACTTTCTAATATTAGAGCTGTGCAAAAGTCTTTCAATTTAGTTTGACCCAATCTAACTCAAAATGATCTGTCTTGTTCAGCCTTTATAAATACTAGTCCTTAAGGATCAAAAAAATTGAAAAGACTAGATTATTTCTTCAACTTGGATTAAATAGGAAACTGAGCATCTGAATCACTTAATCCAATTCAATCCTATTAATTTATTTAATATAATTATAATTAATTTATTTTTGATAAATGCTTCAAGTGTAATTGATATTAAGAAGATGATTGCATAAAGATTTGTTGAGTTTGTTTCTAAATTATTGTTGTAATGTAGTGTTGTTGAAGTTTGTTGAGTGTTATTTTTGTTGAAATTATAAATTTAAATCATTTGCACTGTAACTGAAATATTTATTTCTTGTTGATGGAAACTATTTTGGATTTATTATAATTATAAGTGATTTTATTATTTTAATTAAGTTTATTAAATTGAAATGAATTGTTGCTTTTTATATTGGAAAAAGAAAAAAAATAGCTAAAAGATTACTGGACTAACAGGACCAAGTCCTATAGATCAAATCCGGTCTTGTTATAATATTCAGGTTATCACTGAATAAGACCGAACTACAAGTTACTTAATCCAATTTTTTTCATGAAAAAGATCAAAGTTCGAGTTAGGTCGAAGTTTAATGATGTCCAATCTTTTGTACAACCTTAATTTCTACCTTGTTGTAAATAACCACTGTGGTACAACTTGTGTATTTTATCATAAGTATATTACATCTCGAATTATTTCAATTGTCAATGTTCTTTGCCCTGGTTTCATTTTCTATGTCTAGTACTTAGTGCCCTCTTCCTTGTTAGAAATAATTTCCTATAAATGTATAATGTAAAAATATTAATATATATTCTTTATGGTTTTATTTATAGGAAAGAGGAAAAGAATTTTTTGATCATATATACAAATCACCTTATTAAATTTTTATTATAAATTTTTCTTATTTAACCTTTATTGAATGTTGTAAAAAATATATATTAAATTATATATATTTAATGCAGTCAAAGCTGATAAATTATTAAATTTTAAATTTTTTTAGTTTTAATAAAATATGTTGAAAGTGCTTCATAAATAAAACTAAAGATGTATTATTATAAACTTCTTAAAATGATAGGTAAAATAAAATAAAAATTTCTAAAAAGCTTTTTTAATTTTTTATGAAGGGCAAATCAATATCACTAACAAAACAAATCCACCCCCACTCTGAACACACGGCTCCTGGCTTAGATTAGTGGCCCAATGAACAGTAACCTCCCGGAGCTATAGTATCGGCTCCAAGCTGGTGAAAGATGGCTCCTAGCATGGCTTAACGGACAAAGGGATCTTAAAGAAATTTTTTCTTTTTTTTCTTTTCTCAATGGCTCATGTCACGGCTACACAGATATATATATATATATATATATATATATTGGGCAAAAGCTACGTAGATATGAGGATCCTAAAATAAATGAGAGAGGATGATAATTAGGTATCAAAACATTAAATTAATAACATAGAGGTTTCTGACTTTTTTTTTTTAAATAAGTTGAAAATATCTCTTTAGATAATTGCAAGTTCAAGAATTTCAATTGTAAATAAGTATTTAAGTATTAAATATAACTATTAAATTGTAACAAAAATTTCTATCTATAACTATTTAAATTGATATTTATAATTCTTTTTTTTTTTGAAAATTTAGTCGGTCATTAATTCAATTATTTGGGATATAACTGTCATTTTTTGAAAAAGATTTGTTCGGTAATTTTGTTGCCGATTCAGAAGGAAGGAAGACAATTTCTTCTTCTATTGAACACCAACCTTACATATTGGATGACATCTACACCCATTTGTCTACATAAATTTAATCAATAAACTAACAGCGAAAGAATTGTCTACATAAATTTGCAAACTTAAAAGAATCATTATTTTGAAGGTTTTGCATTTGCATACTAAATATCAAATTCGATATTTTAAAAATTATTCATGATTTTTAATTGTATAAGTATAAAACTAAAATTACATACATACCACATCAAAGCTCGGAGTAAAGTAAAATATATTTAAAATCTTTATTTGGCTTTAATTTCCAAAATTTATGCTCTGCTAAAGTTATGCCTTTTATTATTTTATTTTCACCAAAAGGTTTATGACTGCCTAAAATTTAAAAAAAAAACATATAATATTACTCCCTCCATTCAAAAGTGTAAAACATTTTTTGAGGAGTTAGATGTTAAAAAATATAAAGCATTTTTAATCTTTTAAGATGTAATTATTACTTTTTTTAAATGCCCTTATTATTAATGACTTTATATTTATCGTAGGGTGTTTAATAAGGTTAAATATAAAAAGATAAGGTTAGTTAAAAGTAGATAACTACTTTATTAGGAGGTAAAATTCAATTAAAAATATCTTACATTTTTAAATGAAGAGAATATATAATAAGAAAGATAATATTCATTTCATCTTTTTCCAATATGTACATACTTTTTTCTTAATTTATAATTTCTAATTTTATAATTTATAAATAAATATTTTTTATGGGACTATTTATTTTTCTTCTTTTTCTGATACTTACTATGCATATAGAGGTATAAATTTTAGTTTAGAAACATGAATTAAAATAAAATAAAATAAAAATGACCGCTTCAACCTCCAATTCAATTGTTTTGCACAAATTGAAGCCAATTCTACCTGTTTTTAATTGACTCCCTAGCTCGTTAGTTTTCTCCTTCGACTGTACCGGATATCGGACCGATTCCAGATCAAACCCGAGTGGTCCAGTTCTCAGAATAACTGAGAAAAAAGGCTTGCCCAAAAAAGGTACGTTTAAAGCCTATGAGCTGTTGCTAGTCTTGGCTCTAGGCAAAGCTCTTTCACCGAAAAGACAAAAACATTTGGGGAAAAAAGATAACAATCAAAGTAAAGTATACAAATATTGGCAAATATCTTTTAGCTGTGTCCAGAAATAAATTTTACAGTCAAGAAAATCATGACCCAAAATTCATTCACAGGTTAGCAGAAACCCTAAAATATTTCCTCATATCCCTCAAGTGGAGCATCATGAATTCATGCAGAACCTTCCTCTCTAATTTTAAATACAAAGACTACAACTTCAAGCCATACAAAATAGACCGAGAGAGAGAGAGAGAGAGAGCAAACTAAGTAGAAGCAGGAACCTCAATACATCAAAGCAGCCAATAGAAGGTTTCTAAACCCCAAAAGACGAGCTTAGATTGTCCTATACTCGACATCCACGTGACGTGTCCGGCGAGTCAGCCAGCCAGCACAAAGTAGAACTTTCAAAATGTATGAAACCATGACAATAAAGTGAAGATCTCGGACACGGTGGTTCTTCAGCATCCTGACAAAATGTTCTATAACTCAAAAGTTTGAATGAATTGCAAATACAGAATAAAATAGACAAACATGCGCTACATTGCTTGATAAAAGCATAGTTTAACCACTTCTTGCAAGAGCTCCGGCTGCAAAAAGTAGATTCCTCCGAGAAAACTGCACCATGAACGAGAAATAATGCTAATAAAGGCTTCAATATGATTCAGAAGTGTCAATGGATAAACAAGAAATAATGCTAATAAAGAATTTGAACATTTACCCGTAACGACGAAACAGGAGTAGATTTAGTCGGCAGAGTTTTCAATGATCTGAGTCTGTTAGTATTCCCGCTCCTGCGAATTACATATGATGCAGTTGATTTTTGGAAGGAAAAAAATTTCTGAAGACAGACATTGAAAGGTTAGATTTGTTCAAATTAGATCAAAATACTTTTCGTCAGTCCTTGGAAGTTTTGCACTGGTAGTCACATCCCATAACTTCACAGTAGAATCAGCAGATCCAGATGCAAGAAGGGTACCTTCACAGCTGACACATCCGACAACAATGTTAGAGGGCAAAAGCAGGATTAGGACGTGGATGTGCCTGAAAAACCTTAAATCCATGATCACATCTGAAATATATAATAATTTGAGCAATGGATCACCTGAAAGCGAGTGTCCAGACACATGAGGTGTGACCAACCAGAGGCGTGAGGCAGCTACCACTAGAGAGGTCCCACATCATGATTGTACCATCTTCATCACCAGATGCCATATAGCGACCATCAGGAGACATTGCCAAAGACAAAATCATGCTCCTATGACCAATGAAAATCCGGACACACTCCCCACTCTGCACATCCCATAATCGAACTGTTTTGTCGCTGGAGCCAGTAGCAATGTAGTTGCAGTTGGCATGCCATTGCACACACTAAACAAGAGAATAAAACAGGTAAGCATTCCTATGTAACAGATTAAAGAATTTTTCTGACTTGGCAACAATAAATCCAAGAGCTTTGATTGAAACTGAGATTTGCCAAATCAAGTCAGAAAGCAAGAGAATGAAAGGGTATTGGACTTCATAACTCACATCAACGTCTGACAAATGCCCTGCCATTATTCTTAAAGGCTGTATCCTGTCCATGGACCAAATTCTAGCAGTTCTATCATGTGAAGCACTGGCAAAATAATGCCCCACAGGACTAAACTGCACCAAAAGAAAAGCAGCATTTTAGAATGTGCATTACAATAATTCCCCAACGGTGCAAGAGTAGGAAAAAAGAATGAAACAAATATAACGAACAAAAACAAAAAGAAGAAAATCATGCATATATGTGATCATATTAAGGAAAGCTGCAGCACATGAAGGGGCCTCCAATTGATTCCAAAGATCAGATACATTTAAGTATATCTAAACCTACTAGAAGCTTGGTAAATGAAAACTATGAAATTTGTTTCCCTCCCAAATAATATTGGATTATAAGAATGCCGCATATTTTATCTAGCATTCAACAAGATCCATGGGATCTATCTCATAATGTAGGAGACTGCATATGGAGGAACGCACTAGCCAAAACTAAGGACTCATCATAGAGAGGTAACTGGGAAAGAGAGAAGCCGCACAAATATTAAGATTATCATTAATAAATGGGAAAAAAAACTTGTATGATGAAGGAAAGCAAAGATGCACAAGATGATGTGAACCACCTTTTCCACAGTATGCAGGCACTACAATTATTCTACATGTCATCAGAATACACAGGTGAAAAATCAGCTGAATTTAGAAAAGCTTAGAAAAAAGAGCCCTTACCTGAACATCCCAGACAGGGTAGTTGTGGCCCTTATAGCAAACAAGATTTGAATTAAGCTTTGTGTTCCATAATCTAACTGCATAATCCATCTATGATTTAGAGCCCACAGCTGAAAATTCTGAAGAAACAAAGTGAAGCTAAATACCAAAAGCAAAGAAGAACAGTCCATATTAACATACTAGTTGAGTCTGCTGAAGAGGAAATAATAAAATCCCCAACAGGACTAAAACTGGCTGCATAAACTGGCCCTGAATGACCTTGAAATAATGTATACTGTCTTCTCCCACCACTTTGCCCAAGTATTTGTTCATTTTGAGATGAGTCATTCTCACCCTGTGAAAGAGCTGATAACAAAGGAATTAATTAGTGGACTATTACATCCAGTAAAACTTAATATAAGCATATTATGTTGCTCTAGACACACACAATCTTCCCTCCATTCTTCTACCAAGCTCACTTTTGCAAATAGCACCAATATCTTGCTCAATTTTGTTATATATTTTTCCCATTTTTGGTTGCATAACTTGTATTAGGACACCAAAGCACATTACAGGCTTTAAAAAATAAGCAGATATCTTTTTCTCATACAATTCACCGGAGAAATATTGTATGTATTGAAACAAGTGGGCAAATAGAAAACAAAAATTTGCACATAGCACAATGAAATGTGTGGAGAATTTTTTTTTTTTTTTAAAAAGCTATACAGTGCTCAAAAGGAACCTCACTATTGATGATTTATCAATAATATAGCTCCCTATAAATTCATTTTTTATCACATAAATTTATATTTTTATATTGACAATGATGATTCCTCAAAACTATCGATGTTCTTTCTACACTTACCCACAAATGTTCAGCAAAGAATGAGACATGCACAGTTAAATATAAAACTTAAATCTGATAACTACTATCTTACAACTGACAGTCTGTTGTCCAAGCTTTGCCATATCCCAAACCTTCAGTGATGAGTCAGAAAACCCTCCAGCAACCAATGAACCATCATGGGATATTGATGAGCAGCTTAAACTGTAACAGTTTACCAAAAAATAAGCATTTAGCAATTGAATTCAAAGCATAATCAAATAAGGTTGATCTGCCAAGTATTAGTACATTACCCATTATGCGTATTGAGAAACGTGTAAAAGCTAACTGAAGGCAGTGCAACACTACTCAATTGTACACGGTTCCTTAAATCTTCAAGGATAGACTGCTCTACTTCTGTTGGACTGCAATAATGAAACATTGTATAATTCAATGGAATGTAATTAGAAGATTTACTAGTTTATAGTGAAAAATCAGCCCTCCAATACATATTAACACCTAGTTTTTCTTTGTACAAATATTAACACCTTCACATGGCTAACATTTGACAGCATAATAACTACAAAAATGTAGAAATGAAGTATGGAAAAACTCATTGCTGGGTCTTGGGTAACTGTCTTCATTTAATATTTTGAAATAAAAACACTACTTGGGTTTTGCAATTATTCCAACCGAAAAGGACAAACAGTACGGCCTTCTGCGTTGATGCACAGCCTACATGTAAATTTAATGAGGTTGAATGAAGAAGTGAACTTTCAGAAGTTAATACATTATGGGCAAGGGGAGTTCTGGTTTAACACGTGGCGCTGCAGGCACAGTATTAGCATCAGGTTTTGCACTTTTCCCTGATGCAGTCCCACCCTTGTCCTTCTTTACTTTCTTGATTGAAGCACCTTGCTTTCCTCCTTCAATTGATCTTTTCTAAATGCAAACAAGTAAAATACAAGAGTTAAAAATTATTCAAAATAACTTGAGAAGAACAACAAAAATAAATTCATACTTGATATTAAGTGAAGTAATAAAAGATGTATTCAACGAAAAACTCATGCATCAGAAAGTGCTTGAATGCTGTTCAATAATGCAATATCATCTTTCCAGAGGAGAGGCCTGATAATTAGAAGTATTGAGGTTTAAAAATAACAAGCACCTTATTCTCTTCATTCTCCCCTTCTTTGGCTTCCCCTTCCCCCTTTTCAGAATCTGAAAGCAAAGCACCAGCCTTCTCCAGGCGTTCTTCTAGAGAGTCTTCAAGCAACTGGGCAGGATCACATTTTACAACCAATTAGTTACCCTATAAGCGAGTAATAATCAACACAGCCAGCTCAACATAACGTCATACCAAGCATGATGACTATAAATTTGAGTTTAAACTGGACACTGAATCAGTTACACACCAATTTTTTACAGTTCAAGTTTTCTCTTGCTACTCTAAACCATGGCAAATTTTGGGTCATTTCGTGAAATAGCAGAGACAACCAAAGTAACAGCATGTGATATTTGCACTTCATTTCTGGGGAATCTCAATGCGTATAATGTTGAGTTTGTATCAATAGTGGAGCTAAAATATGTAGTTTTCAACAAAAATACATACATATGTACGTACGTGTATATATATATTCATATGCTTTTTTTCCAAGCAACAAAGCTGGTCATTTACTTTATATAATGAGTTAATTTCTGGTGTCACCCTCAATAACTTTGCCCCCTTCCCCCTCATGAAGCAGAAGACTACACATCTGGTATGAGTATATGCTAAGCAAATATCTTCACAGCACAAATTATTTTATCCTCCCATGTTAGTTTTTTTTTCCACATTATAGGAACCAAGGGCTTGCCCAGCAAAGTTTATGTGTCGGTTTACAATTAGACCTTGAATGCTAATATCATGCATCATTCAAACTTCCAAGCACCATGAAGGCACAATCATAACAAGGAATGGAACCATGTATTAGAAGACAGAACAATTGATTTGAGTGCTTCCTAAGTTAAAGTTTTCACAGAAAAAATGACTCTCTCATCCTATTGTTGTACACTGATATCCAGACCAAAGAACTAGGTCCAGAGAAGATTGCATCAGATCATCATTGGAACTAAAATTATTCCAAGTAGAATGGCAATTGGGATCACATAAATAAAATTATCATAAACAGAATAATTTCTAACATGGCCATGTTTCGTATACATAAGTTAACTAACTCACCCCCCAATGTATTTCTTTCTGATTTATCTGATTTGCTGCATCCTGGCTGCTTCCAGCAAGAGTAACAGCCTCTGGATCATCAGAAATTGAGCTAGGTTGTCCAGGAGTAACTGCAAATGTGGGAAGAATTGAACACCCATGCCAGCAATCTTAACAAGTACAACTGAACAGATAAACTTAACCTGAAGAGAAGTACCTTGGAAGTCAATATGCTCATTAATTATACCAAGTATGGTGGTGGACTGCGTACTGTGGAGATGTTGCAATAGAAGTTCATAGGAATACTGGCAAAACATTAACTCATATCATCTTTCCCAGGAATATAGCTCAACCATTTTAGTTAAAAAATGAAAGGACCATTCCTTATAATGGAAATTACAAAACAACAGATACATGTATTAAAGAAAAGGGAAATAAAGAATGATTAATCAATATCAGCAGATTTCAAGATTTATTGTGTCATTAAAAATAAAGCAACCTGCTATTGGAATCAAATGCTAAATTGCTGCCAAGATCCTTTAACCAATCAGGGAAAAAAATGTTGGACAAATTTAAATTACAGCATAACTGACAGATTAACCCAGAAGAATCAAGAAATTACCTCACATATCTTTATGTTAAATTTGATCTGTCTAAGGGAATGAGCGAATTCCATTTCCTGAGAAACAACATTGTCTGATTATTTAAAGCTATTTATCCAACAACAGAAGAATTGAAAAATGATAAATTTTAGATGGTAGCCAACCTCCAGATGAGAAGGAGAAAGAACACCTTCCAACTTCTGAAGGTCTCGTAAGTGCATCATATCATGGTCTTCACGGAAGGTATTAAAAAAGTTCCGAGCTGAGGATATCAACCACAAGCATGTAAACAAAAAGCATAAGAATATATATTAAATGGCCAGCTCATAACGGAAAATTTGCAATCTGGGTAACAAACAAAAAACTAGTGCATATATCAATTTATCTATACCTTCTTGAATATGCCCTTTTGCCACAAGATCCATAAAACAATGAATAAACACCGGATAAAGCACACGCAATAATTCATGCTGCAAGGACAAGGCAAAACACATAATAACAGAAGAAAATGAAATAGAATGATTTCAAAAGTGAAATTCAGATGAGAGAGCACGTAATTGACATTTTACCTTGTACAAATCCAATGAACTATATGCCCATGATCTGAGCCTGCTATACCCATCATGAAATCTTGCAGGACCACTTTCTAACCTATAAATTAAAGGATATTCATTGAACTATATCAATGACAACAATTTGGAATGTAATCTAGTAGGTAGGATTCACTCAATTGGATGGCTATGTCCCGAGAATATGTCAACCTAACCTTTAGCAGATGAATTTTGTTTAGGAAAACATTCCAGTTCAAAAATTATCTTTGTGCAATCGTTACCATGACAAACACTGAAAATGTCAAGACCATTTATAACTACCGGTATAAAAGCACATCATCAGTATGGAAATGCATAGGCCTACTGGAATAGTAATCCATTTGATCCTCTTACAGTTTACTTCAGCTAAATAATAAATTTATCTTTTTCTTTTTCATATCATAACTTGTTGGCACAAAGATATACTGTTTCCTTTTCTGTAGGGGATCCAAACTATATTTTTTATGGCACACTTGCATTGATGTTTGAGTCACTCAGATGGGCAACCAAGTAGGTTTGGACACCTAATCCAGTACAAATTAGTGTTGTTCATAGAAAGCAGTCCAATCTCAAACCTTTAAATATCCAACTTTTCAACAAACATTGCCAGCAGTCTGGGAGGGCATCTTGATTATGCGAAAAGACAATAAAAATTCTCATACACATGCCCAAAGTCTCATTCTTCGTAACTGAATGATACTTCTTCAAGGCCGTCAAGCATATATTCGAAGGGACTAAAACAGTGAGAATCTGAAAAGTTGGGTGCGATGTATTACAAGAATCAGAGAAATGGTATGAACTGTATTATATCTATTGAACTCAACTCATCAAGGTACAGTATGTGTCTTTCATACAAGTCAGTTATTGATATCCTCTAGACCAAGTGTAACTGAGACTAATGTATCTGACTAAGTTTGAAGGGCCAGGGCTAAGTTTATTGACTAATCCTTATCATTATACTGACAGTGTGAACACTTGCATTAACTGTAACACAGCTAAATTAATACTTGTACCCAAATCCGAGCAAGTTTCTTGGGTTGAAAACCTCAAAGATGTAATATCAACAGCACATAAATTTTGCAAATCCACAACAATGTAAAATTATTACGAATAAATTAACTTTCTAACATGTCCTATCCTAAAATCCACAACCCTTAAGTAATGCTGCTAACACAACTAGTATTTAAACAAAGTTGAAAACTGGCTTCGCAGACCGCGTGATGCTTGATTACATATCATTAAGATGGCCAAGAGAGGCAGTTGCCGATTTTTATATGGAAGTTTATTACGCGCGCAGCATATCTCTATCAGAGTAGCCGTTAAGAGCAAACAAAATCCTATGCAAAGAAAGATTGCCTCAAGGAACCTGCAACTCTTACAAGAGCAAAGTCCATAACCATCCGCAAGTTCAAATCAGCAACCCGCTAACGCGTAAATTAGGGGCAGCAAACAAGATGAAATGAAATAAAATTGAGATGGAGAAAAAAGGAAAAATACTTGGAGAAGGCAAGGATGTGCTTGGCAATGTCAGGTTCGATAAGAGAATTAGCGGAGGAAGTGTTCTTATTCTGTTGCAGCTCCTCCTGAAATGCGTGCTCTGTTTGCGTAAACCCTTTCTTCCTCAGGTACGTAGTAACAAATCCCAGAATTTGATCTTCGTCCATCCGTCTCTCTTAGCTATTGCAAAACCCTCACTCTCCTTTCGCACTTGTGGGGCAGAGTTACGGTTACGTTTTCGCTCCGGAGAAACCTTTTTGGACTCGGTTAGTTAAGCGAAAGTTTGGGTCAGAAAACGAAAAGAAGCCTCTTTTGCATCAGCTCGAGTGTTTGGTTGCATTGCGGGACAGAGCAGGGCAGCAGCTAGGGAGCAGAAAGAACCCTCCCTTGGATCTCAATTCGCAGGAGCACCGTTGGGGAAGACCAGGTAACGGGGAAGAGGAGGGAGATAAATTTGCAGAACTGTCCTTTTTCTTTTCTTTTTTTTTTTTTTGGGGACCTGGAGAGGACTATCCTTTTTCGAATTCTTATAATTATAATTATCTATAATCTATAATTTTAATTTAATTAAAGAAAAATATAATTGTTGGTAATTATATTTTTAAGGTGTTTTGATATTAATTTTGTATACTATTTTCATTGTTTCAAGCCCTTTCAAATCTTATATGCTTGCAATTTTAGTCTTGATATTTTTAAATATGACTATAAAAACTTATGATTAACATGTATATAAACATTATTTCTTTTTGTACTCACTTGTTAAAATTATGTTGAGTTGTGTAAAAAATAAATATCAAGCAAAAAAAAAAAGACAAACAAAATATTAAATCAAAATCTTTAAATACAAAGCCTCAAAAAGGGGGGAAAAAACATAACAAATAGAGGTGTACAAAAAAGTTAGTAGCTATTTTGTTCATATAATGCACAACTCATTATAATTTTATTGATTCAATAATAAAATTAATAGGATTATATTATACACAATAGCAGATTTAATTGGGAAAAAAAATATGGAGACTAATACTAATCAAACAAACTTATGAAAAATGTGCCCTTATTATAAGGTGCCTTCTTATAGATACTTTCCTTAACTTATTAACTCATTTTGGAGAGCGGCTTGCCTTGGCTCGTTTTGAATTGGGAAGGTTTGATAAATCTAAAATTAACCCAAAAACCCAGAACAAGTTTGCTAAGGCAAATCTTGAGTAAAGGAAAAATTGGCACTTGAAAGATCTAAATCCTTCAATCTTACATATTGTGGTGTTATTGTGTTGGCAACTAAGACACATTGTGGATTTGTGATATTATCATTTTAATAATTTGATATATTGTGTTTTCTTGCCAAATTAACGTTACATATAAATGTGTGCATATCAACGTCATTTTTTATTTAATTATTATCATCGATTTAACCAATGATTGGACCGTGAAAGAATTGTGACGTTTAAAACATTAACTCCAATGCAAAGACTTCATTAACCGGTGACTTGCAAATTAATTTTATGAAGACTTTTTTTTTTTAAAAAAAAAGTATAACTTTTGTAAACCCTATTTGAGTGGTGACCATGCATTAAAGAGAGGGAAAAAAATGAAAAAATGACAATAAAAATCCTCTTAAGTATTTAAATGATAATTTGATTACTCAAAATGTCATAATTCTTATAAAGTTTTTAAAGACTTTTTTATCATTAATGAATTTATATAAATTATCAAATTATCTTTTTTAAAAATAAATAATTTACAAGTTTTGTTTAAATATTTATAACTTTCTTTTTTATATTTACAACAATACAACAGCAATGAAAGAAAAGTTGCGAATATTTAAACAAAATTTGTGAAGATTGGATGGTCACTTTTAATCACTTTTTTAGATAAGCAAATAAATGTGCAGATTGGTTGGCTCACCAAGCTTCTATCAGAAGCTCTAGATTTCATATTTTTGATACTTCGCCTCTTGGTTGTATAAATTTTTTATACGCTAATATGATAGCACGGTTTTCCTATAGCTTTTTATTAAAAAAACAAAATTGATAAATCATTTATTTTCAATAAAAATAATTTAATAATTTAAATAAATTCATTAATGATAAAAAATTCTTAGAGACTTCAAAAAAAATTATAGCATCTTAAGATATTAAATTATCATTTACATATTTTAAAGGAATTTTGTTATTATTTTTCAAAAAAACAAACTTTAGTCTTTGTTTTGGGTCAAGGCCTCAAAAGTTTGTTGGGCAATGACCAAAAATATTTAAGAACAAATTGGACCCATAAAAGAAAATTTAAAAGCCCAAAATGAGATTTCTTCCCAAAAAACAATGAGATAAGATGAGATAGAAGAGGAATCAAAATAATATGATAATGATGATAGAAATTTTAAAATGATAAGAAATTGAGATACAGGAATCTCATGGGAATGGATTGGTGCAACATTCTACGCTGTTCAACTTAGAAGTTGCATTGCGGTCCCTTTTATAGTTTTATTTTTGTTTGCTTGCTTGCTTGTTTCTTTGAATCCTCTACTTGGTTTAGGGCAAAATATAACTAACTTTTTCAACTCTATAATTTTAATTCAAAATATAAGTAATTTAATAAATGTAAAAAAAATATCATTTTACCCCATATATTTATTATGTATTTATGAATATAATTTTTTTTTATAAATTTATCTATCACTAATCATAAAATGCATTGATGATTGAAACTAAGGGTAAAATATATATATATATATATATATATATATGAGAATTTAGACTTTATTGGCATGTATATTTAAAAAAAATACTTATATTTTGAACCGGAGAGAGTAGTATTTTAAGTTCACAGCAATATTTTACAATTTAAATTTTAAGGTAATTATGACACTCACTAACATGAAAAATTATAATTGCCAACAAAAATCAATTAAACAAAAGAAAAGCATTGAAGTAAGTGATATTCATCAAATCCTATCACTATTCATAAACAATCAACTTCCTACAAAGATTATATAACAATTGATTGATTATGATTATTTTTTATTTTATAGCTATACACGAATTACAAATGAGTGAATCGTTTCACATTTGTAGTGTGTAATGTTTTGAGAAATCCATGGAAAGAGGGCAATGATTTAGTCCAACGGTATGACTGACTAATTTATTCACGAACAAGTATTGTATCAATTATATTAGTTACATTTTTTTTAATTACCTAGAAGTATTTTTTTTTATTGAAGACAGTTATATTTAAAGTATGGTCAGATGTTAAATATAAGATCCTCTACTAATAAGATATTGGTCCAGTACATTATGAGAGACTAACCATTTTTGCTATGCCCAACTTCATTATTATCAATACCAATTACATTACTTTTAATAACTGACATTTTCATATGTTAATTCAGTATAGTTGATATTTCTTCATTACTATAACAGTCTCCATGGCTCCCTCTTTTAAATTTACTCATATTGTTATAATTCATGTATTTTTTTATTGTTTACAAGTATCTGCTTCTTCATATTGAAAATAATCATATTGAAGACACTGTTAGACAAATGTCAATATTTCTCTTGAGAAGAATTGAATTTTGATTTATCATATTGTGAGAAACTAATTTATTATGTTAGATCTAACTCATGTTAGTTAATATTCATGTATTCGTTATATTACTTTTTTTTTGCTTTTTTTAGTAAATTTTCTCACATGACTTGGCTAAATTTTAACTGATCTAAATAGACAAGTCGAAAGCATATGCAAATGGAAGTCCCTAGAGATTTGGGGACAAAAGGATTTTTCACAAAGTCTTCTGTGAATAATGCATCATAGAAATAGAGTATTTTTAAATGCTTGTAGTATAAAGCATAGATTTGATTGCAAACATATGTAAGTTGATAAATGTTTGCAGTCGAAATTAAAATAATGAATTTATTTTTTATTTAGATAGGCTTCCATAAATGATAAATTAATTTTTTTATAAAAAAGTGTTAATTTTAAATTCTGCATCTATTACTATAAAAATATTGAAAACGTAAAAATTAAATTAAATATAAATTTGAATGATCCATGAGATTGATGAGCTCGATTGGTATTTAAAAAAAGAAGAAGAAGAAGAAGATAAAGTCATTGCCTTAGTTAGGTCCAATGTATTTTCTTAGTTGTGCATCAAAAAATGACCAAAGGTAACACAGCTTATTAGGTATGATTTGATTGATTTATTGCTCAGTTAACTGCGCATACAAAGCTATTGAAAAGGTTTGTACCAAAAAAAAAGTTATTAAAAAGGCTTCCATAGGAACGCTTATTTTGTACTTTTTTTATTTTTTTATATATTTGATCTTTTTAAAATAAAGGTTATGCTTACATTGTGCATGCTCAAAACAAAATTCAATAAAAATATGAGATAGAAATTATTATTTACATGAGTAAAGAACGAAATAAAAATACCAATTTATTTTACTTTTGCACATCCAATCGATGGTTTATAATGAATGATATTATGGAATATGATATGAATTCTACAATTGTCCTAAAATTTCTCATCTATTGAGTGTTTACACTATAATCGTGAGATTTCATCAAGGCTTGAAAATTCATACTTGATCAAGAATAAATGAAACGATGAGTTAAAAGGCAATTCTATAAGAATGTATTTCAATAATTTCTATGTAGTCATGTAAATTATTGGATTAATATATAGGAAATAACAAAAGGTAACGTTGTGATTTAGTATTCTCTCCATATCTTGTACCAACATCTTCGGCAACCGTTAGATTCAATTGACAAACTCTATAATGACACATGAGATGTTCATTGATAAGAAGATTTGAGAGACTCATCAAATTCAAATCTAAATGATTGACATATTGTCCACAGTGAGAGGAATATTAAACAAAGAGTCAATAAATAAATTTAAAAATTTATTGGTAGAGATATATTATCATTAAGTTTTAAATTGATTTTAAGTTCAGATTTTATGTATGAAAAAAATAGTTTAGGGAGAATTATTATTATTTATTTGAAACCAAACTATATTTAAATCTGCTGGTCAAAAAACTATATTTAAATCTAAATTAGTAACCATGTTTGGGTACGGTATGCATATAAACAAGATTTAAATTAGTGAAACTAATAATATTTCACAACCTAAATTAATTCCTTTAAGGTTAATGACAGTTATTGCAGGATATTATTGTTTTAGGTGTGCACCAACCACTATCAACATCAACTTTATGTTTCTCTTCGGATTGTATTATTTCGTCCTCAAGAAGAATTCATTTAAGTATATTTTGTTCTTCAATGCTCAATTTGATTAATTTGAATATTTCAATTTATTTTCCAAATTGATATCATTAATTGTAGAAAGAAATATACACGTTTCAACAGCAAATCCCATATGGCATATTTGTATTTGTTTATTTAAAACAAAATAAATCTCCATGTACATTGTACAGAATTTGAAAAATAGGTTACACTGTTATTAAATTATGATAAATTACGTGAATTATTACAAATGGTTTTACAAAATTAAAAGTATTCAAATATGTAAAAATTTTACCATGATAATGTTTGACTCAATTTGATTTCACTTCTAACATAAATTCATCTCAGCCTAATTAATCAAATTTTGTTTTGAGATTTTAAGAGTAGCTTTTTTTGTTGATATATGGGGTAAAGACTAAAGACATTCATTTCAAAACTAATTGAAAGCGTTATTTTTAATACTCGTTTAATTGAAAACGATAAAAAAAAATTAAGTTTGGGTAATAATTTTAATTTTTCATCAATCTAGTAATCAACTGTACACCCAACTTACTCATAATTAGATTGATGAACTACGAGAGCATGAAAACGAGTTTGAATAATTGAGATTCACATATTATTACGAAGTAAAAAAAACATTGGGATTCAAACAAAAATATGTCGGCAATGGTGCCTTTTTTTTATTGGACATTTTCAAGAGGATGATGCAATAAATTAATGCATGTAATATAGTACAAAGTTCACATCTAAAGTAAATATATATAAAGAAACTTTTATTTTTATTGATTTGATCTCTTAACTTTAAAATTTATTTAAAATTATTTTTATTTTATTGTTTTGAGAACTGTTATTTTATATAACATGTTTTAAGAAAAAAATAAAAATAATTTTTTTTATTTTTTTATTCTCCAGAACAATATTACCAAAACACTTAAAAAATATTTTTATTTTTCTTTTTTTAAAATAATATGTTATTTTTTTATTTTTCAAAACACTTTTTAAAGATATGTTACTAAATAATTTTATTTTTTTTATTTTGAAGAACGGAAAATCATTTTCAAAATAAGTTGCCAAACATTCCCTTGATTTATGTCATTTTAATCCTTCATGTTTATTAAGCTATTCCTTTAAATTTTGTAAGATAAAATAAACTTTAAAAAAAGGTGATGTGAAAATTAAATTACTGACGTGTAACACGTGAATTAAATAAAACGTATCATTTAAATATCTCTCAAGTTTTAATTACTTTTATGTTATTTATTTTATTATGTTATTATATTATCATCACTATCATGGATTTTGATAAGTAATTAGGACTTGTCAGATTTGGTTGATGTGTTTTATTTAATCCATGTGTATATTCCATATCAATAATCTAATTTTCACATTAATTTTTTTAGGGTTATTTTATCTAACAAAACTTAGAAGAGTAACTTGATTACTGAAACAAATGTTAAGAATTGAAATAATAGAAATTAAAGTTAAACAACTAAATTGATGGAACTTCAAAACGTGAAAGACTAAAAACTGCTTTACCTCTATTTAATATATATATATATATATATACATACATATACATACATATATATATATATATATGATAAAATAATCTAGGTCCTTTCAGCCTTTAGTAAAATGAGTTACGGTTGTTCAAGTATAAAGTTTAGTATTTGAATATGTGTGAATAAAAATATCTTTGATACAATTACCTCTAATTAAACACTAACAATATTAAAATCCAATCAAATCAAACTAGGTATATATATATATATATATATAGAGAGAGAGAGAGAGAGAGAGAGACATGCATGTTGGAATCTATTACCAATTGTTAACTATTACATAATTGAATTGCAATGTAAAGTCTATGATATGTTTTTTTTTTATTATATATTGAATCAATAATATCTTACATATTAACCTAAATGAGTGAAGGAATCATATGCAATGCCCTTATGAGTAATAGATATTATATTTGAACAACTATTGTACGGTTCAATCATGCATTTTAAATCGTTAGTTTATGCATCGCATGGGTATCTTTTCAAAATGTGATTTTACGAACATTAGATTTGTTGACATAACAAATTACAATAACTGATAAAATAAGCGTTTAAAAACTAATACAAAAAAAAAAGTAATTCAAGGCAAATCATATTCATTAAATCATACTACTATTCATAAACCATCAATTTCATATAAAAAATTATATGATGATTAATTATTTATTATTATTTTAATTTTAATTTTTAGTTTCTATTTTGGAAACAAAAAATTGTCACATTTATAATATTACTTTTTTTATCTATTTTTTTATTTTTTATTTAACATATCAAGCAAACCTACAGATAAAACTTCTTGTTTAACAACATTTATTTTAAAATATTATATTTCTATGACTATTATTTTAAATTTTAATTTTTATTTACAAATACAAATGACTTTTCACATTTATGATATTACCTTTTTCGTTCTATTTTTTATTTTTTATTAAACAAATTAGGCTAGCCCTAGATAAATTTTTTGCGTGGCAAATATGCGTATTTTAAAGAAAGTTAGAAACAATATGGGATGAAGCCATGAAGGGCTTTACTAGTATTTACTCCCTTTTTTTATGCTTTTTTAAATGTAAGGCACAGAGAATCATGCAAGGAAAAAAAAAAAGATAATTAGATCATGTCAGAAATCATACACACCAAGAGAGTAGATCACAAAAATTTTAATATCAAGATAGTCATCTAAAACTTGACATACAAATCAATCCACATATTTGTTAAATTTTCAAAACACATGTTCAAAGATTATTATCCAATCTCAATATGCTCATTTTGTCTCAAATTATAAAACATTTTTAAAAAAATTTTGTTATCCTAAAATATACAATTTGAAAAAATATTTTATTAATAATACCTTTTCAATATTACTTTTCATGTGGACAAAGAATTAAAATAATATTTCAGTATAATAATTAAGTATATAAAAATATTTTAAAAGTCGTTTTGAAAAAGTAAATTTGCAAACTCATTAGTGTGATAATTTGAGATGGAAATAATACTTTATATCAAATTGACACAGAACACCTAAAGTGAATATATGTCATGATTCTTCCTAGTCATTTTTTATTTCATTTCTCTAAACTTGGACTTGACATTTACTTGCTAAATGCCGAGAAAGTGAGAACTCAGGTCCACAAATATTAGCACTAGGATTTAAAAGAGAAGGAGTAAAAGGTAAAAACAAGAAAACAAAACAAAAGCAGAAAAAAGAAAGAAAGAGAAGAGAAGAAATGAACAGCAACACGTGGGGTGGGGTAAAATAAGCACTCAAAGGAAGGAAGGAAGAAGGCGCAGCCGCCTAGGACCAAGGAAGAGATGTGCCATTTTCTCTGGTCCCATGAATGTGACACACTTAATTTCACCAAAGTGGAAAGGAAATGGAAGACATCATGTGAAAAATAAAAAGAAGGTTTGCTAGGACATTGACCAATGACACTCACATACATTACAATACAAACAGACAGACAAGACAAGTCCCTTCCGTGGACCCCACCACCACCCCAACACTGGTCTCCAATTCCATCACGCAACCAAACAGCTCTCAACTTGGCACGTCCCATTTCTGGGGTCCCATACTCACATGCCAGAGGATAAGCTCAAGTGAAAAACAGAAAAAGGGTGATAACAAGGACAAAACTTTCTTCAATCCATATCCCTTCCCAACCAATTTACCCACACCAAATTCTCTCCAGATTGCTTAACCTGTTATATCATCTACCAGTTCTACCTATAGACCAATCAGATAACAATATATGGCAGGGTTCACTGAATCATGTGTCATAAACAGTATTCATGATCTTCACTTGCAAACCAGCAAGTCTGCATACAGTAGAGTCCACTGATCAGTAATTTGTAAGTATCAAATAATGAAAAGCATCTTGTAACACAATGGAGCCCACATAGTCATGCGTGACAAGAACTGATAGTTTGGCCCATTAAGGCAGAACTAACAATTTCCGGCCATGATTAAGGGAGAAACTAAAATCCAAAGAGAGAATTATAATTATAAATCTTATTTATATCACAGTCTTGCATAAAGTTTTAGGACAACAGGGCTACACTGATAACATACACATAATACAGGGTTATATAATGGGAGCATCCATTGTTTATAAATCCCATATACCAGACCTGCCAAGCACATAATATCTAGATCTACAGGGACTTTTTTGGCCATAACCTACTATTACATGTGAAGAAAAATGCAATAAACTACCTTTCTCTTAGACACGGGAACTTCCCATGATTTGAAGGGGAAAAAATGAGACTCCCATGATACATGTGATTTCCACAAGTCATTTCAATGGTGATACCATATTGATGACATGTCTGACTGTTTGTGAAGAGATTCCATTCCTCCTACGCCTGCTTGCATCTCATCCTTAAAATCAAAAGATGCCAAATCACAAGGGGACCCAAACATTAAATGGAAATTGTTGTTGTTGCTACTGCTGTTGCTGTTGTGGTGCTGATGGTTGCTTTCAAAAGGAGAGTTAAAAGCCTTGAACGGGTCAAAATGACCTTCCTCGCGGGCAAACATCTGCTGATTATTGGACATGTTGGAGTCTTCAAAGAAGTTTCCATCCATCACGACTCCTTGATTAGGGAAGAAATTGTTCTGTTGCTGCTGAATGCTGGGTTGGGAAAGGTTTTCATTTTCTACAGTTACACAGTTACTGGAATTCATGTTCTTGCTCCCTTGAACATTTGTATCATAAACCGACATAAGGTCACTTATCAATTTCTGGCCATCTTCAGGAACTCCGAGCCCTGATAGATTTAACGAAGGTGGAACTAAATTAACAGACTGAGCAGTGGGTTTGGGTTGGGCGAAAGATTGAGGGAAGATAACCGGCTTGACTTCATTAACATGAAAATTTGGCCCACCAAAATCTGAAGAACTGCCTCTGTATGGACAATTAAGTTGATGATTATCCCTTGAAGTCCGGTCAGAAAATGCAAGGCGAACTTCGCTATAAGGGCATTGAGGGTGCTCACATATGTAGATTTGCTGATTTATCATGTTAAAGTCATTAGGAGCCTTCCTCTTCCGAATGAAATCTAAGTTGGTGACAATCTCTCCCTTGATTGGAAAAGAAGGTTGCTGAATTGGCAACCTTCCTCTCATTCTATCCATCCCAAGATTGGACGGATTGAGGCTATCAGGTTTTTGGTCATCCACATCAAAATTTGGCTCATCCTCAGCCCCTTCAACATCATACTCACTGCAGTCATTGATAACCAAAGATCCACTACCTCCAGATGAAGACAACGGAGGGCAATAGTCAGGGTACAGCTCTCGTGCCAAAGCCTCCTCTTGGTTAATGATCGCAAGCCAAGTGGCGCTTTCCTTGGCTGTCATTTTATCTTGAAGACATTTTGACTGCCTCACTAGCTTGCGAATCTTGGCAATATCAGGAGACATGTGCTTTATAACAGCAGTTAAAACACCCACCTTCCATGCCTTCTTCAGGTCATGTGGTTTCTTGTATGGCGGAGGGCCTTGATCTTTAGGTAAACCAATTTGAGGCCACCAATCTTCATTCCCTGTGGGCCACCATGGTGGAGGAACTCCCTTCTCTAATGGAAATCGTCTCTGAGGTGGATCACAGTGCTGCATCAGTGCTGACAAGAGAGAACCCAACGTTGTGTCCTGAAGCTCTTGCAGGGTGTGTGGAGTTGGACCAAGAGAGCTGCACCCATCATTCTTGCCTGGAATCGAATTATCTGCTTGATATTTGGCTATGGCAGCTGGGCCATTTCTATCAAATCTGACTTTATCTTTCCACCATTCACGAAGATTGTCAGAAGCACCAGTCACAGGTTTCCCCTTCTCTGGAATTATCCCATAAACAAATCCTTGAGCCTTGCAAACCTCCATCATCTTTAGCATGTACTTCAAGATTCCGTCTTGGGCTCTTGACATCTTTTTCCTCCTCGCTTGTTCTTGAGACTGCCTTTGTTTTACTGCATCTATTCCTTCCTTAGATTTACTCTGTTCCTTCAACCTTTTCAGACGCAACTTGTCTCTCCACATCCTCTTCTCCAGCTCATCCATATCAATGTCTTCATCAGTGTAATCATCATCAACCACCACCTCTGGTTCAGTCTGCCGGGTGACAGCATCACCTTCCCCCAGGGGAGCAGATAACGTATCCAAATCACCACAAAACCCCATCTCTTCAAACATCATCATCATTCCTCACCAATGAAAATACCCCTAAAATATTGCCTGAATGTTCAGAACAAAATGGATTCCACCAATGAAAGCTTGAGGACTAGGGTTCCAAGCTTTTGCCCTTCTTTATACACAGATAAAAGTCGACAATTTCTCCACTATCTAGACCTTTTAGCTGCCAAAAGACATAAAACATAGAATAATTAAACCCAGTAAAACAAAGCATATTAAATACTTTTCATGTAAATAGGGCCTTAAAAAACGGAATTGTCATGAGTAGACTCTTCTTTTTCAAGCGCAGAAATATCAGATAAAGGCTAAAATCGCACTAAAAAAATAGTAAATATCCTAATCTCCAATAAATATTCAACCGGACCTTATCTAAAATCTTTACTCCGTCAATATATCAATTAAGTGCTCAGGACTTAAATGATTGCACAGATCTAAACGAGCCACACGTAAACTACGACAATAGAAACCTCCACAAGCTTAAATTTCAGGTCGATTTTCAAGATTATCTCATCAACCAATAATCAAAAGGATACCTGCCGAGAGAGACAGGCAAGAGAGAGAGAGAGAGAGAGAGACAGAGCGAGATACAAAAATATAAGCAAAACTTGCAGGGAAACCTTCCAAGTGAGGTTATCTAAAGAGGAACCAAGACCAAACCAATCACTCAGACAATCGATATCAAGTTCAAAAGCTATAAACAGAGCAGAAATCCAACAACGTATAGAAGAACCCAATGTTAAGACTCATACAGATCCACCTGGAAACAAAACCATCATCAATTCAACCAACACCAAAAGGAAACTAAAAAAACCCCACAGATCGGGTTGAGCAATCAGAAGCAAAGACGGAAGAAACAACACAACATCAAAAGCATGCAAGCAAAAGTAGGTAAAGGAATCTCACCAGAAGATCCAAACACTTGAACTTTCTCTTCTTCTGAAGAAGTCGGCACAAGTCAATAAGCGAGAGCAGAGAAGATGGGTTTCTGAGAGTTGACCACAGAGCGAAGGAAGAGGAGAGGAAGGAGAGGAAGAAGTGGGAGGGAGAGAGAGGAAGAGAGAGAGGAGGGAAGTGATGATGAATGTGGAATTGGGAGTGCGTCCACATCTATTTTGGGAGCGGCAATGGGAACGGTGATTGGCAAATCCCATCCCTTCATGTCATCCTATGGAAAAGATATTGCCACGTTATAGAAAGCATTTTGCCCGGTCTTTAGCTAAATTACATTTACAGACATTTGCACGTACGTGTGTGCCTATAGTTTACATCATTATCTGTATAATTATATATTATATATTATATGAGTTATGAGTGAGTACAATATGTTGCAAACAAAGCATACTTCCTCCGCAGGAAAATATACAATATTTTTAATTAAATTTTATCTTAATAAAGTAATTAATTATTTTTAAATTAATACTGTCTTTTCATATTTATTCCTATTAAACATCCTACAATAAATATAAAGTTATTATTAATAAGGATACTTTAAAAAAAAGACAATGATTACACCTCAAAAAACTAAAATATCTTACATTTTTTAACATTCAACTCCTCAAAAAATATTTTATATTTTTAAACAGAAGGAGTATCTTATAAGGATTTGAACAAAAATATATTCCAAATTTAATTTATGTTAAATTTTATAGTCATCAATATGTACACAACCAAATTTTATGAAAAAAACGGTAATCATATACTATAAATTAATTATTAATTATATTACTTATCTTAGATTCTATGTAACGAATTAACATAAAAGCTCGCATCTTATCTCATTATTTTTAAGAAAAACAACTTATAATTTAATTTTATATATTTAATATGTTTGTTTTTAATTAAATCAAAACATGTAAATTTTTGTATAAATTATATATTCTATAACAAATTTTTATTATTAATATTATCAACACTTTAAAAAAAAGCTCATGTCTTATCTCATTATTTTTAAGAAAAACATGGCAACTTAATTTTATATATTTAATATGTTTGCTTTTGATAAAATCAAAACATGTAAATTTTTTATAAATTATATATTCTATAAAAAATTATTATTAATATTATCAATACTTTAAAATACACTTGTCTTGATTAGATTGAATAAAAATATATTAAATATATAACAAATAAGTCTTGCCATATTTTAAAATACTTAAATTATTATTAACTTTTACGATTTTTTTTTTTACATTTCAGCAAAACTGTTACTTTAATTATTTTTATGTTATCAATATGAAATTTTTATTTATAAGGTGTCTTAACTATTTTAAAATTATTAGTAAATGCAACTTCATTCTCTAATGTAATGGTAGCATATTTAAGTTCTCACCCTCATTTTTTTTTACAAGTGTTGGCCATCATATACTTAAGGTGGGATAATATTTTTTTAAACAATTTTTTAAGAACAAAATCATCTTTTCATCAAAAACCCATCATTTTTTCTATTACTTATTTACATGAAATAGTTGTCAAGCCGCACGTAGTTATAGCAAGATATTTTGTTGCTAAAACCAAGCTTGATTTTTGCTATTGTCACAATCACTTCTAACCCATTTGGCCATGCTTGATAGTCAAGATGGGATAGAATGTGTATTGTTATCACTACAATGAAATTATTCCACATCAATAAATAACAAAGAAAATGATATGTCTAATGGAACAATAATTTTGCTCTTAAAAAATTGTTTAAATTATTTTTTTTACCTTCACTTTGGCATCGCAATTGGTTTTTGACCCAAACTAATTTGGTCAATAACTTATAGGCACTTCTTTAAAAAAAATACCTTCCATCAAGAATTTAATCATTGCTGTATGTTTAGGGCTTGTAATTTTTTTAAAAAAATAACTGAAAAATTAATACTACAATCATTTTCATATATCTGTATTTTAGAGATATTATTATCTAATCAAAATTAAATGTTCACTTTTTTCATGTCATACCAAATGGAATTATTTTTTTAGCCAAAATAATTATTTTATTTCATTAAATCTTAATTCGTATTTTCATTTCCACTTTCATTTGAAATGTTCGTTTTTATACCTGAAATTTTCATTTTTCATTCTTATCAAAACATTCCACGAATCAAAGGGCAAATAATAAGATAGTGAAGTATTTTCACAATTGTTTTTTTTTTTTGCCAACAATTGTTTTTAATCGATTAATCTTCCGTGTCCATGTCATTAGGACTAATCCATAACTTAATTCATTATTCTCGGTACTAGCTATATACTAAGATTTTCTTTCTTTCTTTATTTTTTCAATTTTAATAGATTTAATTTAATTTTTATTATCAAAACTAGATCTGGTCTTAAATTTGTTCCTATCTATATTTAATTATTGTAATTCAATCATAATAAATGCACATCAATTTTGTTAAAGTAGTTTCAATGTTTGTAGATTTGGATAAGATGTGACGTTACAGTGCATGTTGCATGCTCTAGGTTGCATGAAATGGCCCAATCTGAAGATAAGATAGTTATCTATGAGTACAATTATTTCATACAAAGTTGATAACGATCCCAATGTGGGGAAATTAGAGTTCAGGGCCCAAAATTTAGAGATACTTGCTCTGGATGACCGTGAGTTTTAAAAAAAGTACACTAAGTTCCCTAAATGTGTTAATATTATAATGAAAATTTTCGTTCTAGAATTTACACAATTTTACTCAAATGAATTTGCCCGTTAACTGAAAAAAAAAATCTTATGCCTAAAATATGAATACCTAATTTTTGAAAATTTAAAAGTATGGTCAATTCATACTTATATATAAAGAGTTTATCATTAAAAATTTAAAAATTTACAAAGGATTTATCATTGATATACAACAATATATCACTGACAAATATAATAAACTGATCATAATGTAAAATATAATAAATATTGAGCTGTTTAATTGATTTGACCTTAGTTATATTAGCAAAAGCCTCATTTTACTTTATCCTCAAAATAAAAATTGAATTGAATTTTTACTAGAAGAGATGTTTATTTTTAATGTTCAACCTTGTCCTAAACATGGTTATTTCCAATATGAGAAATCTTGTATGCAATAATAAAAAAAAAGTAAAATTGTGCCGTAAAGCACATGGCACAATGCCAAACAAGATATCTTTGTTGATGAAAAATCTTAAGGTTTAAGCCTTGGTTTGTTGCATACCATATCGCAATTTACCTTCTCCGTAAGGCTCCCACGTAAGAATGGTGGTGGCTCCAGACATCAATGATATAGAGTCAGTCAAAAACAAGTAAATTAAAGGATGTATTCTTGTTGACAAAAAAGTCTAAGGTTTGAACCTCGACTAAAGAATTACATGTCTTACAATTCACCTTCCTTCACAAAGTCCCAAGCCATAAGGATGGTTGGGGCGTTTGTGTTAGAGTTAAAGTCATACATTAACAAAGAGATTTAAGTCATAAATTAATAACTATAAGGAGTTATGTGAAAGTAGTGAAGTGTCCTTAGTTCATCTATAACTAATTTAAGAAGTAGCCCAATGTTTTCATGAGTTACATTTCAAATTATAAGTCTAGGTCTAAAGGGATCCATCAACTAGTTTTATAGTCTGTTGGCACTCTCCCAAGCTGCTAGCAATGTATGTGAATTCAACAATGATGATATCATGTATAAAGAAGAGTAAATATTCCCAAGAATAAATATGAATAAAAATATATGACCAAATCATGCATGCCATTAGAAATAAAAATAAATAGGTGTTGGATTGTTTTTGAGATTTAGAATCAAAGTATCGTGCTCCTTGAGGATTTGTTGAGCATGCTAGAGGAGTATGTCCTCAAAATGAGAGTTAAATCAAATGATTGTATGGGTTACTAACGTCATTTACCACAATTTTCTTATAACATCAAAATGAAATGAGAAACTAAGAATACACCAAATAATGCACAAGGTTTGATTCAGTACTTATGAGTAAATACAAAGAGCGCTTTGTTAGACAAAAGAAAAGATAAACCAAAATAGCCTAAGGAGCCTAAGCTAGCTATAATGATGAAGAGAATCATGTTGGGCAAACTTGAGATGATGCTAAATGAGTTGTATGAGTATTACGTTGGGCAAATTGATTTGATTGAGTTGAATTTGCAAAGTGTCAATAGAGAAAGTCGATTACGTACTCCTTTTCTATCTAGAAAATAGCAAGGGTGCACTCATTTGAATTTGAAGCTTGACACTAGGAAGAATAAATAACTATCCATGCTATCAAACCATCAATGATGCACTTTATCCTGTAGAGCGGTAAAAGTGAGTCGGTTGTATAATTTAGACAATGGAAGGAGCATGTGAGATTGGATCGTTGAGCACCTTAAATGTAATTAATGTTTCACTTAATTTCCGCAATGCTAGTTAGCTATAACCTATAAGGGTATTTATGGGATGAGATGGGATCAAAACACCTTTATCTTTTGTCCTATCTCAATATGATTGGAATGAGATTAGGTCAATCAAGATAAGTATAAGATTGAACATCCCCAATTAGCTATTGTACATGTATTCCTATTAAATTGGATTGAGCCTAGGTAATTCCTCCTTCAAGCCAAGTGCACCAAATTCAATCCAAACAACTGGAAATATGGTTGCAATAAATGAAACCGCTAGGCTAAGGATGCGTTGGTTTGGAAATATTCGAATCAGAGTTAGGCAATTGCGGTGAAAAGGACAGAAAACACCTTCGCCAAAAAGACGCCGACAATGAGAAAAATGGGGGAAAAGATGACGCAAGCATTTGGAGACGATATTTAGCAAGAAGAAAAATGAGGAAGATATTTGTGTCGTGTTAATATGATTCCACGTTTGAATAGTTTCTTTTTTAATCGAAACTAAAAAGATATATTCAAAATAATGTCAACTCACAATTATAACACACAAAAAGAATCAATTTACGATATTTTATGTTTTTGTCCGAATCCATAATCCTTTTCCAGCAATAGGATTTTTACAACCAAACGAACCTTAAAGACTGAATTAATTAAATACTGATAATATGATTGAAAAAACTTGAAAATAATTATTATTGAGTAGTAATTATAAGAATAATAACAAATAAAAAGTATTGCATCTCCCCATTTTTATGTGCATGAAATG